GTGAATTCGGATTTTGGAACAATTTCTTTTCCTGGAAAAGCTTGGAATTTTTGGTAGAAAGCTTTGGATTTCAAATCCCCTCTTTTGCCCCCCAAAAATTGTTCAGAAATTGGTAAATTGGGGGCTTTGACCCCTCTTTTTTCCCCCCTCAGACGCTCAGGAATTGGTTCTTTGGGTGCCAGAGCTCCCCAAAATGCTCCCCAGCGCTCAAATTCGGGGTTTTAGAACCCCCCAGGATGCTCAGAATTCCCATTTCACAGCTCTCTCCCCTCCAGAAAAGCTCAGGAACGGCTCAATTTACATTTCCCCCCTTTTTTTACCCCCCAAAAAACTGCTCAGAAAGGGCAAATCTCCCCTCCCAGCTGGGCCTGCCCCTTCCCTGCAGGTTTCCTTTGGCTTTTCCTGGACTTTTTGGGGCCATTCCTGAATTATTTCCCCCCCCATCCCTCGAGTGACCCACGTGGGGCCTCCTGAACACCCCCAAAAATCAGATTTTTAACTTTTCCCTCCCCCCACCAACCCCAATCCCCGTTTTTTTCACCTCTCTCCTCCTTTCAACGCCCCAAATGCCCAGTTTGTAACTTTTTCCCTGCCCCTGTCTCCAGGAATCCCAATTTTTGTCACCTTTCCTCCCCCCAGAGCAGCGCTTTGATCCTTTTTTTTTCCCCCTTTTTCCCCCTTTTCCCCCCGGATTTGAGGTGAAACTCCACTTTTCCCCCCTTTTCCCAGCGGGAAGGCGACTCCTCCCCCTCCTCCCCGGCTCAAACTTGTTGGTCCTGAGGGTTTTTTTCATTCTTTTTCCCAGTTTTTCCCGTTTCCAGAACAATGGCCCCAGCTGGGGGGGGAGGGGGGAGCGCCCGCAGCGCCCACATTTCCCCTCCAAAAAAAAAAAACCCTAAACCAGGCCTGAAGTTGGGAGATTTTTCCCCAAGTTGGGAGCAAAGGCCCCTCCGGCCGCTCCGGCAGCGGCACCAAAACTGCACAGAACGGCCCCAAAAGCCCCAAATTGGGGTTTTTTTGCCCTTTTTTGGGGGAGGAAGGACCCGCGGGCTCTCCACGTGCCGTTCCCCCCTTTTCCCCCTTTTCGGAGCTCCCCTCCCTCTTCCTTTGTTCCAACTCCTTCCTCCCCTTTTCCGGAATCACTCCCCCTTTCTCTCTCTCCTCTCTCTCTCTCTCTGTGTTTTTTTTTTTCTCGATTGTGGTTTTTTGTTCATATTTCCCATTTTTCCACCTTTCCCCCCCCCTTTCCTTTCCCTCCTCCTCCTTCTCCTGCCTTCCCTTTTTTTTCCACCCTTTCACTCCAATTCCCACCGTTCCCCCCCATCATTTCCCACCTCTCTCCTCTGTAGGTTTTTTTTTTGGGGGGGTGTTTGGAGGTTTTTTCTCCTCGTGGCCCCCCCCCCGGGGGTGTTTTTTGTGTGTGTGTGGGGGGAGTGGGAGCGTCACGTGTGTGGAAAATTCTGGTTGATGCTTTGCCTAGCGCGCCCTGCGCATGTCCGATGGGGCCGGGGTGGAAAACGGGGGAGGGGGAAAGGTGGGAAACCCCCAAAAACGACAGGATCGGGCTGGGACCGCCCTGAGTGACGGTGGGGAGTGTGGGAGGGGGAAAACAGGGAAAGGGGGGAATTCAGCGAGAAGGGTGGGGAAGGACCCTATGGCGCTGCCATTTGGGGGAGGGGAAGGGGGAAGAAAACCAGGCAGGAAAAAAAAAAAGACATTTTGAGGCTTTTTTTCCTCCAAAAAAAAAAAAAAGGCAGAAAAAAAGAAAAAAAAAGGAGGTTTGGGTTTGGTTTTTTTTTAACACAGGGAAAGAAAAAAAAAGGGGTTTTGGGAGGGGGGGGGGTATCCCAGAAAAAAAAAAAAAGGTTTGGGTGGTTTCATTTTCCACCAGAAAAAAAAGAGGTTTTACCCCCTCCCTCCCCAAAAAAAAGCCAAAACAACCAAGCAGGAAAAAAGAGATTTGGGGGTTTATCTGCTCTCCCCCCCCACCCCACAAAACAGGCGTAAAAAAAGAGGGTTTGAGGGTTTTCTTCACCCCCCAAAATAGGCCCCAAAAAAGAGGCTTTGGGGGTGTTTTTACCCCCAAAACAGGCCCCAAAAAAGAGGCTTTTTTGGGTTTTTTTTTCATCCCCCCAGGCAGACAAAGCTGTTTCGGGGGTTTCTCCCGGGGGATGATGTCGGTGATCCCGGGTGCTCCCGGTTGGTCCTGATTGGTCCTGGGTGATCCTAGTTGGTCCTGGGTTATCCCAGGTTATCCTGGTTGGCCCCGGGTGATCCCAGTTGGTCCCAGTTAGTCCTAGTTGGTCCTGGTTGGTCCTGGTTGGTCCTGGGTTATCCCGGTTGGTCCCAGTTGGTCCTGGTTGCTCCTGGGTTATTCTGGTTGGTCCCGGTTGGTCCTGGGTTATCCCAAGTGCTCCTGGTTGGTCCCAGGTTATCCTGAGTGGTCCCGGTTGGTGCTGGGTGATCCCAGTTGGTCCCAGGTTATCCCAGTTGGTCCTGGTTGATCCCAGTCGCTCCCGGGTGGTCCCGGTTTGTCTTGGTTGGTCCCGGGTGAACCCGGTTGGTCCTGGGTTATCCCGGGTGATCCCAGTTGGTCCCGGGTTATCCCAGTCGGTCCTGGTTGATCCCAGTCGGTCCTGGTTGATCCCAGTTGGTCCTGGGTTATCCCAGTCGGTCCTGGGTTATCCCAGTCGGTCCTGGTTGATCCCAGTCGGTCCTGGTTGATCCCAGTTGGTCCTGGGTTATCCCAGTCGGTCCTGGTTGATCCCAGTTGGTCCTGGGTTATCCCAGTCGGTCCTGGTTGATCCCAGTTGGTCCCAGGTTATCCCAGTTGGTCCCGGGTTATCCCAGTCGGTCCTGGTTGATCCCAGTTGGTCCCAGGTTATCCCAGTCGGTCCCGGTTGATCCCAGTCGGTCCTGGTTGATCCCAGTCGCTCCCGGTTGATCGCAGTCGCTCCCGGGTGGTCCCGGCGCTGCCGGGCGGTGCTGGCAGCGGGTGGTGCCAGGGGATTATTCAGGAATGTGACCCCGGCTGTCGCTTCCTCCTCTCGCTCCTCTCGCTCCCCACGCCAGGCTTGGCACCCCCCGGGCTGTCCCTTCCCCTGGGGGGGTTCCCTCCCTGAGCCGCGTCCCGGGGGTGATTTATGGGGTGATTTATGGGGTGATTTATGGGGTGACTGGGAGGTGACTGACGGGGTGAGGTGGTGGCAGGGGGGGACACGAGCGCAGGCCGTGCCAGCGCCTGGCAGACGTGACGCCTCTCCGGGGCCTCCCCCCCGAGCGGCTGCCAAGGCCGCGGGGGCAGCCGGGGCCGTGACACGGATGTGGCGGTGTCACCGCCCCGGGGACGGCCCTGGGAACGCGGCGCCCTGGTGGCCTCGGTGTCACGGGGACACCGCTGGTGGCCCCCGGCCAAGGGCTGGGGAAATCCTCTGCTGGCGGGCGGTTGGTCACCGGCAGCGTGACAGGAGGGCTCGGGGAATCCTCTGTCACTGTCACTGTGACACCGGGGAGGGCTCGGGGAATCCTCTGCCACTGTCACTGTGACACTGGGGAGGGCTCGGGGAATCCTCTGTCACCGTCACCAGGGCTTGGGGAATCCTCTGTCACTGTCAGGGGGACACTGGGGAGGGCTCGGGGAATCCTCTGTCACCGTCACCAGGGGTTGGGGACTCCTCTGCCACCATCACAGGGACACCGGGGAATCCTCTGTCACCGTCACCAGGGGTTGGGGAATCCTCTGCCACTGTCATGGGGACACTGGGGAGGGCTCGGGGAATCCTCTGCCACTGTCAGTGTGACACTGGGGAGGGCTCAGGGAATCCTCTGCCACTGTCACAGGGACACCAGGGAGGGCTCAGGGAATCCTCTGCCACTGTCACAGGGACACCGGGGAGGGCTCAGGGAATCCTCTGCCACCGTCACCAGGGCTTGGGGACTCCTCTACCACTGTCACAGGGACACCGGGGAGGGCTTGGGGAATCCTCTGTCACCGTCACCAGGGGTTGGGGAATCCTCTTGTCACTGCTTTGGGGACACCGGGGAGGGCTCAGGGAATCCTCTGTCACCGTCACCAGGGGTTGGGGAATCCTCTGCCACTGTCACAGTGACACGAGTGTCCCTGTGTGAGGGTTGGGGAATCCTCTGTGTCATTGTCATGGTGTCCCCGTGTGAGGGTTGGGGACTCCTCTGCTGGCAGTTGGTGACCGTCAGTGTGACACCGGTAAAGGGCTGAGGAATCCTCTGCTACCCTCACGGGGACACCGGGGAGGGCTCGGGGACTCCTTTTGCTGGCAGTTGGTCACTGTCATTGTGACACCAGGGAGGGCTCAGGGAATCCTCTGTCACCGTCACCAGGGGTTGGGGAATCCTCTTGTCACTGCCATGGGGACACTGGGGAGGGCTCAGGGACTCCTCTGCTGGCAGTTGGTGACCGTCAGTGTGACACCGGTGAGGGGTTGGGAAATCCTCTGCCACCGTCACCAGGGGTTGGGGACTCCTTTGCCACTGTCACAGTGACACTGGTGTCCCTGTGTAAGGGTTGGGGACTCCTCTGCCACTGTCACAGTGACACCAGTGTCCCTGTGTGAGGGTTGGGGAATTCTCTGTGTCATTGTCATGGTGTCCCTGTGTGAGGGTTGGGGAATCCTCTGCTGGCGGTTGTGACCCCTGGTGTCCCCCTTGGTGTCCCCATCCCTGTCCATCGCTGTCCTCCTGATGTCCCCCTGGTGTCCCTGGTGTCCCTGTCCCCTGGCTCAGGCTGTTGTCCCTGGTGTCCCTGTTGTCCCCCGTTGTCCCTGTCCCCTGGCTCAGGCTGTTGTCCCCGGTGTCCCCTGGTGTCCCTGTCCCCTGGCTCAGGCTGTTGTCCCCTGCTGTCCCCGGTGTCCCTGTCCCCTGGCTCAGGCTGTTGTCCCCCAGTGTCCCTGTTGTCCCCCTGTCCCCTGGCTCAGGCTGTTGTCCCCGGTGTCCCTGTCCCCCGACTCAGGCTGTTGTCCCCGCAGATGGGGAGGACGAGCTGCTGCGGGGCCTCGAGGGGGCCCTGGGGGTGAAGAAGAAGAAACGAGGCCCTCGGAAACAGAAGGAAAACAAACCTGGGAAACCCCGGAAACGGAAAAAGCTGGTGAGTGATCCCGGGACAGCCTGGGGGACACCGGGGTGGGGGTGGGGGTCCCAGGTAACCCCGGGTGATCCTGGGTGGTCCCAGGGGTCCCAGGTAATGCTGAGGGTCCCTCCCAGGTGAGCGAGGATGAGCTGGAGTCAGAGCGGGACGAGTACCTGGGGTGGGACAGGGTGGGGGTCCCAGGGGTCCCAGGTGATCCTGGGGGTCCCTCCCAGATGAGCGAGAATGAGCTGCAGTCGGAGCGGGACGAGTACCCAGGGTGGGACAGGGTGGGGTCCCAGGATCCCAGGTGGTCCCAGGGGTCCCAGATTAATCCCAGGGGTCCCAGGTGGTCCCAGAGGTCCCAGATTAATCGCAGGGGTCTCCCAGCTGAGTGAGGATGAGCTGGAGTTGGAGCGGGACAAGTACCCAGGGTGGGACAGGGTGGGGGTCCCAGGTGGTCCCAGGTCCAGATAATCCCAGGGTCCCAGGTGGTCCCAGGGGTCCCAGAGTAATCGCAGGGGTCCTCCCAGGTGAGTGAGGATGAGCTGGAGTTGGAGCAGGACGAGTACCCGGGGTGGGACAGGGTGGGGGTCCCGGGGGTCCCAGGTGATCCTGGGTGGTCCCAGGTGGTCCCAGGGGTCCCAGATTAATCCCAGGGGTCCCAGATTAATCGCAGGGGTCTCCCAGGTGAGCGAGGATGAGCTGGAGTCGGAGCGGGACGAGTACCCGGGGTGGGACAGGGTGGGGGTCCCAGGTGATCCTGGGTGGTCCCAGGTGATCCTGGGTGGTCCCAGGTGGTCTCAGGGGTCCCAGATTAATCGCAGGGGTCTCCCAGGTGAGCGAGGATGAGCTGGAGTCGGAATGGGACGAGTACCCGGGGTGGGACAGGGTGGGGGTCCCAGGTGGTCCCAGGGGTCCCAGATTAATCCCAGGGGTCCCAGGTGGTCCCAGGAGGTCCCAGGTTGATCCCAGGGTCCAGATTGTGCAGGGTCTCCCAGGTGAGCGAGGATGAGCTGGAGTCGGAGCGGGACGAGTACCCGCGCGAGGAGTACCGGGAGAAGTCGGAGAGCGGGGGCAGCGACTCGGGGGGGGCGGCGCGGAAGCGGCGGAGGAAGCACCGCGAGAAGAAGGAGAAAAAGACCAAGAGGCGGAAAAAGGCGGACGAGGAGGGGGGGCAGAAGGTCAGGTGCCTGGGGCACTCAGGGCTGAGGCACTCCGGGGGAGGTGGGGGCACACGGGCTGGGGGTGCTCATGGGCAGGGCACCCAGGGCCGGGTGCCTGGGGCAGGGGACACTTGTGGGGCAGCACCTGGGCTGGGGCACTTGGGGCAGGGGGCACTGTGGGGCAGGGGGCACTCGGGGCCTGGAGGGAAATGGAGGTTTGGGCAGCTGGGGGGCTTTCGTGGGGGTCCCGTTGCTGGGAGGGTCCTGTCACCCATGGGGGTCCCTTCACCCATGGGGGTCCTGTCACTGGATGGGGTCCTGTGGGAGTCCTGTCACTGGGGGGGTACTCAGGGGGTGCCCACTGGGGGTCTTGCCTCCCATGGGGGTCATCACAGGGGCCCTGTGTCCTCCGTGTCCCCCAATGTCCCAGTGTCCCCAGTGATGTCCCCAATGTCCCCAGTGATGTCCCCAGTGATGTCCCCAATGTCCCCAGTGATGTCCCAATGTCCCCAGTGATGTCCCCAATGTCCCCAATGTCCCCTGCAGGCGGTGGAGCAGAAGTCCTCAGCTCAGCTGCTGGGGGCCTGGGGGCTGGAGGACGTGGACCCCATGTCCCCAATGTCCCCAATGATGTCCCCAATGTCCCCAATGATGTCCCCAATGTCCCCAGTGATGTCCCAATGTCCCCAATGATGTCCCAATGTCCCCAGTGATGTCCCCAATGTCCCCAATGATGTCCCAATGTCCCCAATGATGTCCCAATGTCCCCAGTGATGTCCCCAATGTCCCCAGTGATGTCCCCACTGATGCCCCAATGTCCCCAATGTCCCCTGCAGGCGGTGGAGCAGAAGTCCTCAGCCCAGCTGCTGGGGGCCTGGGGGCTGGAGGACGTGGACCACGTGTTCACCGAGGAGGATTACCACACCCTCACCAACTACAAGGCCTTCAGCCAGTTCATGAGGTGGGGCCTTGGGGGGGCACCTGCGGGGTCCCTCTGCCTGCTGGGGGCACCTCGGGGTGCTCAGGGGGTCCCTCTGCCTGCTGGGGGGCACCTGGGGGTGCTCAGGGGGTCCTTTTAGGGTGCTAGGGACAGTTCAGGGTGCTCAGGGGGTCCTCTCAGGGCAGCTCAGGGTGCTGGGGGGCACCTTGGGGTGCTGGGGGACAGTTCAGGATGAGAGTTCTGTGCTTCCTGAAGGCCCCCAAACACCCCTGGAGCCCCCAATTCCCTGGGTGCCCCCAAACACCCCTGGACCCCCCAGTTCCCTGGGTGTCCCCAAACACCCCTGGAACCCCCCAGTTCCCTGGGTGTCCCCAAACACCCCTGGAGCCCCCAATTCCCTGTGTCCCCAAACACCCCTGGAGCCCCCAATTCCCTGGGTGTCCCCAAACACCCCTGGAGCCCCCCAGTTCCTGGGTGTCCCCCAAACACCCCTGGAACCCCCAAGTTCCTGGGTGTCCCCAAACACCCCTGGAGCCCCCAATTCCCTGGGTGTCCCCAAACACCCCCGTCCCACGTGCCCCCCTGTCCCCCCAGCAGGCCCCTGACGGGCCAGAAGACCCCCAAAATCCCCCTGTTGGAGGTGATGACCATCCTGGGGGCCAAGTGGCACTGGGGAGGGGTTGGGGGGTGTCCTTTTAGGTACTTTGGGGTCACCTCAGTGGCTGGGGGGCACCCAGGGGGTCCCTTGGGGTGCAGGGGGGCACTGGGGGGGCGGTTTGGGGTTATCTCAGGGTCCTTCTGGGTGCCTGTGTGGGGTGCTGGGGAGGTGGGTGGGCACAGAGGTACCCAGGGTGTCCTGAGGGACCCTGGGGACACCTTGGGGCACCCAGGGGGTGAGAGAGATCCGTGAATCCCCAGAGTGTCCCTGTCCCCTGTCCCTGTCCCTGTCCCCTGTCCCCTGTCCCCTGTCCCTGTCCCTGTCACCCCCTTCTCCCCGGCAGGCCCCTGATCGCCAAGAAGAACCCCAAGATCCCCATGTCCAAGATGATGACCATCCTGGGGGCCAAGTGGCGCGAGTTCAGCGCCAACAACCCCTTCAAGGGCTCTGCCGCCGCCGTGGCCGCCGCTGCCGCCGCCGCCGCCGCCGCCGTGGCCGAGCAGGTGTCGGCGGCCGTGGCCAACGTGGCCCCCGAGGCCCCCGGCCCCCTGCGCAAGGCCAAGACCAAGGAGGGCAAGGTGGGGTCACCCGCACCCCAAACCCCCACCCCGGGGTCCTGGGGCGATCCCACCCCGGGGAGCTGGGTGGGTGGGGGGGGGTTGAGGGGTTTGTAAGGGGATCCTTGGGGGGGGTGGGGGGTCCCTGGGGGAGTCTGGGGGAGCTCACTGGGGTGGTTTGGGAGGTCCTTGGGGTGGTTTTGGGGGTCCTGGGGGAGTCTGGGGGCTCACTGGGGTGGTTTGGGAGGTCCCTGGGGTGGTTTTGGGGATCCCTGGGGGAGTTCAGAGGGTCCCTGGGCTGGTTTGGGAGATCCCTGGAGGGCTTCGGGATCCCTGGGGGAGTTCAGAGGGTCCCTGGGTGGTTTGGGGAGATCCCTGAGGGGCTTTAGGGGTCCCTGGGGGAGTTCAGAGGGTCCCTGGGGTGGTTTGAGGATCCCTAGAGGGTCCCTGGGGGGTTTGGGGGCTCTGTAAGGGATCCTGGAGGCTTTTGGGGGTCACTGGCAGGGTTTGAGGGTCCCCTGGGGGAGTTTGGGGGGGATCCTGAAGGGCTTTAGGGGTCCTAGGGGAGTTTAGGGGTCTATAAGGGGATCCTGGGGGCTTCTGGGGTGTCACTGGTGGGGTCCGAGGGTCTCTGGGGGACTTCAGTGGTGCCTGGGGGAGCCTGGGGGTGGGTGGGGGCTCTGTGGGGGTCCCGAGGCCCCTAAGCCTAGGTGCCCCCAGGCCCCGGGCACAGAGCGCAACAAGAGCCCGAGGTGCCCGAGCTGGAAGAGGAAGATGAAGGGCAGGAAGATGGCACCGCTCAAGATCAAACTGGGAGTGCTGGGGGGGAAGCGCAAGAAGAGCAGCTCGGTGGGTCCCACTGGGGGCACTGGGGGCACTGGGGGGGACAGGCTGGGGCACTGGGGGGACTGGGGGGGGACAGGGCAGGGGGCACTGGAGGGGACAGGGCAGGGGGCACTGGGAGCACTGGGCGGGCAGGGGGCACTGGGAGCACTGGGTGGGCAGGGCAGGGGGCACGGGGGGGCAGTGGATGACAGGGTGGGGGGCACTGGGGGAACTGGGAACAGGGTAGGGGGGCACTGGGAGCACCGGGGATGGTGCTGGTTGGGGACATGGGGACACTGGGAGTGCTGGGAGACAGGACATGAGCGCACTGGGGACACTGGGGATGAGGTCACTGTGGGTGGGGACATGGGGACAGTGGAGATGGGGACAACCGGGGACAGGGGGACACTGGAGATGGGGACATGGGGATGGGGTCATGAGGACAGTGGGGAGGGGGACATGGGGACACTGGAGATGGGGTCATGGGGACACTGGAGATGGGGACATGGGGACACTGGGGATGGGGACAGGGGGACACTGGAGATGGGGACATGGGGACACTGGGGATGGGGACACTGGGGATGGGGTCATGACGACAGTGGGGAGGGGGACATGGGGACACTGGAGATGGGGTCATGGGGACACTGGAGATGGGGACATGGGGACACTGGAGATGGGGACATGGGGACAGTGGGGATGGGGACATGAGGACACTGGGGATGGGGACATGGGGACACTGGGGATAGGGTCATGGGGACACTGGAAATGGGGACATGGGGACAGTGGGGATGGGGGCATGAGGACACTGGGGATGGGGACATGGGATGGGGTCATGGGGACAGTGGAGATGGGGACATGGGGACAGTGGGGATGGGGACACCCGGGGACAGGGGGACACTGTGTCCCCTCGTGACCTGTGTCCCCCCCGTCCCCCCTGTCCCCGCTGTCCCCGAGCAGAGCGAGGACGCCGGGGAGGCGGAGGAGGAGTCGGACGCCGAGAGCCCGGGGGGGGTCCTGGGGGCCGCCCCCCGCCCCGACCCCACCACGCGCCTCAAGAAGCTCAAACGGGGCCGCCCCGGGCGCAAGAAGAAGAAGGGTGAGCGTCCCCAAGTGTCCCCAAGCATCCCTGGGTGCCACCACCTTCCCCATCCCACCCCCCCCACGGCGTTGGGGACGCCAGGTGATGTCCCCATGTCCCCCCTTCCCCGTCTGTCCTTGCAGCCCCGGCCCAGCCGAGGCGCTGCCCCCAGGGACCCCCGCGCACGGTGAGACCCCCCCGAGCGTCCCCAGCTTGTCACACGGGGTCCCCCGGTGTCCCCACCTCGTCACTTGGGGTCCCTGAGCCCCCACCTTGTCACCTGGGGTCCCCCAGTGTCCCCACCTTGTCACCCGGGGTCCCCAAACCCCCACCTTGTCATCTGAGGTCCCTGAGTGTCCCCACCTTGTCACCTGGGGTCCCCAAACCCCCAGCTTGTCACCTGGGGTCCCCAAGTGTCCCCACCTTGTCACCTGGGGTCTCCAAGCTCCCAGCTTGTCACTGGGGTCCCCGAGTGTCCCCCCATGCTGGTGTCACCGGTGTCCCCTGTGCTGGTGTCACCGCTGTCCCCCGTGCTGGTGTCACCGCTGTCCCTCTGTACTAGTGTCACTGGTGTCCCGCTGCCCCCCGTGCTGGTGTCACCGCTGTCCCTCTGCCCCCTCATACTGGTGTCACTGGGTCCCTCTGCCCCCCCGTGCTGGTGTCACTGCTGTCCCTCTGTCCCCCCGTGCTGGTGTCACCGCTGTCCCCCCGTGCTGGTGTCACCAGTGTCCCACTCTGTCCCCCCGTGCTGGTGTCACTGGTGTCCCTCTGCCCCCCGTGCTGGTGTCACCGCTGTCCCTCTGTGCTGGTGTCACCAGTGTCCCACTCTGTCCCCCGTGCTGGTGTCAGTGGTGTCCCTCTGTCCCCTGTGCTGGTGTCACCTGTGTCCCCTGTGCTGGTGTCACCGCTGTCCCCCATACTGGTGTCACCGGTGTCCCCCGTGCTGGTGTCACCGCTGTCCCTCTGTGCTGGTGTCACCAGTGTCCCCTGTGCTGGTGTCACCGCTGTCCCCCGTGCTGGTGTCACCAGTGTCCCTCTGTCCCCCGTACTGGTGTCACCAGTGTCCCCCGTGCTGGTGTCACTGCTGTCCCTCTGTGCTGGTGTCACCGCTGTCCCCCGTGCTGGTGTCACCGCTGTCCCTCTGTTCCCCTGTGCTGGTGTCACCGCTGTCCCCCGTGCTGGTGTCACCGCTGTCCCTCTGTCCCCCCCTGCTGGTGTCACCGCTGTCCCTCTGTCCCTCTGTGCTGGTGTCACTGCTGTCCCCTCGTACTGGTGTCACCGCTGTCCCTCTGTGCTGGTGTCACCGCTGTCCCCTCGTACTGGTGTCACCGCTGTCCCTCTGTGCTGGTGTCACCGCTGCCCCCCGTGCTGGTGTCACCGCTGTCCCTCTGTGCTGGTGTCACCGCTGTCCCCCGTGCTGGTGTCCCTCTGTCCCTCTGTGCTGGTGTCACCGCTGTCCCCCGTGCTGGTGTCCCTCTGTCCCTCTGTGCTGGTGTCACCGCTGTCTCTCTGTCCCCCCATGCTGGTGTCACCTGTGTCCCTCTGTGCTGGTGTCACCAGTGTCCCCCGTGCTCGTGTCACTGGTGTCACCGCTGTCCCTCTGCCCCCAGGGCCGGGCCCGGAGGAGGAGGGGGACGGCTACGAGACGGACCACCAGGACTACTGCGAGGTGTGCCAGCAGGGCGGGGAGATCATCCTGTGTGACACCTGCCCCCGCGCCTACCACCTGGTGTGCCTCGACCCCGAGCTCGACAGGGCCCCCGAGGGCCGCTGGAGCTGCCCCCACTGCGTGAGTGGGGATGGGGGGGCGTGGGGGGGTCCTGAGAGGGGTTTGGGGGGTCCTGAGAGGGGATTGGGGATCCTGAGAAGGGTTTGGGGATTCTGAGAAGGGTTTGGGGGATCCTGAGAGGGGTTTGGGGATCCTGAGAGGGGTTTGGGGGATCCTGAGAGGGCTTTGGGGATCCTGAGGGGGTTTGGGAGGCTCTAGGGGGCACTGGAGCTGCCCCCACTGCGTGAGTGGGGATGGGGGGGCGTGGGGGCTCTGGGGGTCGCTGGAGCTGCCCCACTGCGTGAGTGGGGCTGGGGGCGTGGGGGGTCCTGAGAGGGGTTTGGGGATCCTGAGAGGGGCTTGGGGGCTCTAGGGGGCACTGGAGCTGCCCCCACTGCGTGAGTGGGGATGGGGGGCATGGGGGGATCCTGAAGGGTTTGGGGGATCCTGAGAAGGGTTTGGGGGATCCTGAGAGGGGTTTGGGGGTCCATAGGTGGATCCTGGGGGCAGTTTGGGTTCCTAGGGGGATCCTGGGTTGGCCTAGGTGGGGACTCGGGGAGATTTGTGAGTCCTTAGGGAGGTTTGGGGGCTCTGGTGGGATCCTGGGGGTGTCCCCAGCAGGTTTGGGTGTCCCTGGGTGCTGGTTTAGGGTCCCTGGGTGCAGTTTTGGGGTCATTCCCAGCAGGTTTGGGGTCCCTGGGTGCAGTTTTGGGTCCATTCCCAGCAGATTTGGGTGCAGTTTCGGGGTCATTCCCAGCGGGTTTGGGATCCCTTTGGGGTCTGCTGGGGTTCCTGACTCCAGGGGTGTCCCCAGGAGAAGGAGGGGGTGCAGTGGGAGGCCAAGGATGAGGAGGAGGAGGAGGAGGGTGAGAAGGAGGAGGAGGAGGAGGGGGGTGACATGGAGTACTGTTGGGGTTCCTGTCCCCAGGAGAAGGAGGGGGTGCAGTGGGAGGCCAAGGATGAAGAGGAGGAGGAGGAGGAGGAGGGTGAGAAGGAGGAGGAAGACGATCACATGGAGTACTGTTGGGGTTCCTGTCCCCAGGAGAAGGAGGGGGTGCAGTGGGAGGCCAAGGATGAAGAGGAGGAGGAGGAGGAGGAGGAGGAGGAGGGTGAGAAGGAGGAGGAAGACGATCACATGGAGTACTGCCGCGTGTGCAAGGACGGGGGGGAGCTGCTGTGCTGCGACGCCTGCGTGTCCTCCTACCACATCCACTGCCTCAACCCCCCCCTGCCAGAGGTCCCCAACGGGGAGTGGCTCTGTCCCCGCTGCACGGTACGGGGGGACACAGGGACATGGGGGGACACCAGGACATGGGGGGACACCAGGACATGGGGGGACACTGGACATAGGAGTGGCTCTGTCCCCGCTGCACGGTACGGGAGGACACAGGGACATGGGGGGACACCAGGACATGGGGGACACCAGGACATGGGGGGACACTGGACATAGGGGTGAGCTCTGTCCCGCTGCCACGATGCAGGAGGACACAGGGACATGGGGACACGGGGATACTGAGGGGACATGGGGGACACAGGACATGGGGAACACCAGGACATGGGGGACATGGGGACATGGGGGACACAGGACATGGGGGGACACGGGGATGTGGATCCCCAATGGGGAGTGGCTCTGTCCCGCTGCACGGTATGGGGGACACCAGGACATGGGGGGACATGGGGGGACACCAGGACATGGGAGGACAGGGGGACATGGGGGACATGGGGACATGGGGGACACTGGGACACGTGTGGACAGCAGGGCATAGGGATACTGCAGGGACATGGGAGGATATGGGGGACACCGTGGGGTCACCATGGGGACACTGGGACACCTTGGGGACACCGTGGGGTCACCCCAGGGACACTGGGACATCTTGGGGACATGGGGACACTGTGGGGACACACAGGGGCACTGTGGGGACACCACGAGGGGACAGAGGGGGACATGGGGGGACACAGGGACACTACGAGGACACGGGGGGACACACAGGGACACTGGGGGGGCACGGGGACACCACGAGGACACAGAGGGACACACAGGGACACTGTGGGGACACCACGAGGACACGGGGGGATATGGGGGGACACGGGAACACCAGGACACCTTGCAGACATGGGGACACACAGGGACACTGTGGGGACACGGGGACACCACGAGGGCCCGCAGTGTCCCCCCGGTGTCCCCCCATGTCCCCCCATGTCCCCGACGCCGCCCCTGCCCCCGCAGTGCCCGGTGCTGAAGGGGCGGGTGCAGAAGATCCTGTACTGGAGGTGGGGGGAGCCGCCCCCCGTGGCCCCCAGGCCCCCCGCCCGAGGGACCCCAGGCCCTGCAGGGCCGCTCCGAGCCGAGTTCTTCGTCAAGTGGGTCGGGCTGTCCTACTGGCACTGCTCCTGGATCAAAGAGCTGCAGGTACGGGGGGGCTGCACCCCAAAAACACCCCTGGGGGCACTGCCATGGGGGCATTGATTGACCCTGGCACTGCTCCTGGATCAAGGAGCTGCAGGTACAGGGCTGCACCCCAAAAACACCCCTGGGGGCACTGCCATGGGGGCATCTCTATGGGGGCACTGCCATGGGGGGCACTGCCATGGGGGCATTGATTGACCCTGGCACTGCTCCTGGATCAAAGAGCTGCAGGTACGGGGGCTGCACCCCAAAAACACCCCTGGGGGGGGGGCACTGCCATGGGGGGCACTGCCATGGGGGGGCACTGCCATGGGGGGGCTTCACAGAGCCACTTTGGGGGGGCATTGATTGATCCTGGCACTGCTCCTGGATCAAGGAGCTGCAGGTACGGGGCTGCACCCCAAAAACACCCCTGGGGGCTCCTCTGGGGGCACTGCCATGGGGGCTTCACAGAGCCACTTTGGGGGGGCATTGATTGACCCTGGCACTGCTCCTGGATCAAGGAGCTGCAGGTACGGGGGCTGCACCCCAAAAACACCCCTGGGGGACACTGCCATGGGGGCACTTCCATGGGGGCACTGCTGTGGGGGGCACTGCCATGAGGGGGCTTCACAGAACCACTTTGGGGGCATTGATTGATCCTGGCACTGCTCCTGGATCAAAGAGCTGCAGGTATGGGGGGGCTGCACCCCAAAAACACCCCTGGGGGGCTCCTCTGGGGGCACTGCCATGGGGGGGCACTGCCATGGGGGGGCACTGCCATGGGGGCACTGCCATGGGGGGGCACTGCCATGGGGGCACTGCCATGGGGGGCACTGCCATGGGGGCACTGCCATGGGGGGCATTTCTATGGGGGGGCACTGCCATGGGGGGGCTTCACAGAGCCACTTTGGGGGGGCATGGATTGATCCTGGCACTGCTCCTGCATCAAGGAGCTGCAGGTACGGGGGCTGCACCCCAAAAACACCCCTGGGGGGGCACTGCCATGGGGGGCATCTCTATGGGGGCACTGCCATGGGGGGCTTCACAGAGCCACTCTGGGGGGCTCATTGATCCTGGCACTGCTCCTGGATCAAAGAGCTGCAGGTACGGGGGCTGCACCCCAAAAACACCCCTGGGGGGGCTCCTCTGGGGGGGCACTGCCATGGGGGGGCTTCACAAAGCCAGTTTGGGGGGGCATTGATTGATCCTGGCACTGCTCCTGGATCAAGGAGCTGCAGGTACGGGGGCTGCACCCAAAAACACCCCTGGGGGCACTGCCATGGGGGCACTGCCATGGGGGGCTTCACAAAGCCAGTTTGGGGGGGCATTGATTGACCCTGGCACTGCTCCTGGATCAAAGAGCTGCAGGTACGGGGGCTGCACCCCAAAAACACCCCTGGGGGGGCTCCTCTGGGGGGGCACTGCCATGGGGGGGCACTGCCATGGGCGGGCATTGATTGATCCTGGCACTGCTCCTGGATCAAGGAGCTGCAGGTATGGTGGCTGCACCCCAAAAACACCTTGGGGAGCCCCTCTCTGATATTGGGGATCCCCACTCTGATTTTGGGATGCCCTGCTCTGATATTGGGGTGCTCTGCTCTGATTTTGGGGGTGCCCCTCTCTAATGATTTTGGGGAGCCCCGCTGTGACTTTGGGGGGGTGTTCCCCTCCTGACTTTGTGCTGCCCCCCTCTGACTTTGGGGTGTCCCCCTCTGACTTTGGGGTGCTCCCCTCTGATTTTGGGGTACTCCTCTTTGACTTTGGGCTGCCCCCCTCTGACTTTGGGCTGCCCCCCTCTGATTTTGGGGTGTTCTCCCCCTGACTTTGGTGTTCCCCCTCTGACTTTGGGGTGCTCCCCTGTGATTTTGCTGTTCCCCCTCTGATTTTGGGGAGCCCCCTCTGATTTTGGGGTGTCCCCCTCTGATACTGGGATGTTTCCCCCCTGATTTTGCTGTTCCCCCTCTGACTTTGGGGTGTGCCCCCTCCCCTGGCAGCTGGAGATCTTCCACCTGGTGATGTACCGGAACTACCAGCGCAAGAACGACATGGACGAGCCCCCCCCCCTGGATTACGGCTCGGGGGACGACGACCCCAAGAGCGAGAAGAGGGGGGGCGGGGGGGGACCCCCTGTTCGGGGGGATGGAGGAGCGGTTCTACCGCTACGGCATCAAACCCGAGTGGATGACGGTGCACCGCATCATCAACCACAGGTGGGACCCCCAGAGACCCCCCCAGAGACCCCCAAATCCCCCCAGAGACCCCCAAATCCCCAGGGGATGGGAGGGATTGCAGGGGATCAGGGAGTGTCTGGGAGGGGGGATGGAGGGGCATCAAACCCGAGTGGATGACGGTGCACCGCATCATCAACCACAGGTGGGACCCCCAGAGACCCCCCCAAATCCCCCAGAGACCCCCCAAATCACCCCCAAATCCCCAGGGGATGGGGGGGGACATCAGGGTGGGGAAGGGGAGTGCCCAGGAGGGGGGTTTGGGGACACCCCTGGCACCTGTGGGGACATTCTGGGCACCCCTGGGGACATTCTGGGCACCTGTGGGTCCTCAGCACCCACTGGGATGGTCAGACCCTGTCCCCAGGTGACCCCATGTCCTATCCCTGTCCCTGAGTGTCCCCTCCATGTGTCCCTGTCCCCAGGTGACCCTGTGTGACACTGTCCCTGTCCCCAGGTGACCCTGTGTGACACTGTCCCCGAGTGTCCCCTCCATGTGTCCCTGTCCTCAGGTGACCCCGTGTCCTGTCCCTGTCCCCAGGTGACCCCGTACCCTGTCTCTGTCCCTGAGTGTCCCCTCTGTGTGTCCCTGTCCCCATTTGACCCCGTGTGACACTGTCCCCAAGTGTCCCCTCTGTGTGTCCCTGTCCCCAGGTGACGTCGTGCCCTGTCCCTGTCCCCGAGTGTCCCCTCCGTGTGTCCCTGTCCCCAGGTGTCCCCTGTGTGTGTCCCTGTCCCCAGGTGACCCCGTGTCCTGTGTGTGACCCTGTCCAAGTGACCCCATGTCCCCTCCGTGTCCTCACATGACCCCTGTCCTGTCCCTGTGTCCCTGTCCCTGGGTGACCCTGTGACCCCAGGTGGCCCCTTGTCCCCTCCATGTCCCCAGGTGACCCCGTGTCCTGTCCCTTTGTGTCCCCAAGTGACCCCATCTCCTGTCCGTGTGTCCCTGTCCCCAGGTGACCCCGTGTCCTGTCCCTGTCCCCAAGTGTCCCCTCCATGACCCTGTCCCCAGGTGACCCTGTGTCCCCTCCATGACACTGTCCCTGAGTGTCCCCTCCATGACCCTGTCCCCCGGTGACCCCATGTCCTGTCCCTGTCCCCGAGTGTCCCCTCTGTGACCCTGTCCCCAGGTGACCCTGTGTGACACTGTCCCCAGGTGTCCCCTCCTTGTGTCCCTGTCCCCAGATGACCCCACGTCCTGTGTGTCCCTGTCCCCAGGTGACCCCGTGCCCTGTCCCTGTCCCTGAGTGTCCCCTCCATGTGTCCCTGTCCCCAGGTGACCCCGTGTCCTGTCCCTTTGTGTCCCCAAGTGACCCCATCTCCTGTCCGTGTGTCCCTGTCCCCAGATGACCCCACGTCCTGTGTGTCCCTGTCCCCAGGTGACCCTGTGTGACACTGTCCCTGAGTGTCCCCTCCGTGTGTCCCTGTCCCCAGGTGACCCTGTGTCCCCTCCGTGTGTCCCTGTCCCCTGGTGACCCCGTGCCCTGTCCCTGTCCCCAGGTGACCCCGTGCCCTGTCCCTATCCCCAGGTGACTCCTCTGTCCCTGTCCCCAGGTGACCCCATGTCCTGTCCCTGTCCCCAGGTGTTCCCTCTGTGTGTCCCTGTCCCCAGGTGACCCTGTGTCCCCTCCGTGTGTCCCTGTCCCCGGTGACCCTGTGTGACACTGTCCCCGAGTGTCCCCCCCATGTGTCCCTGTCCCCAGGTGACCCCGTGTCCTGTCCCTGTCCCCGAGTGTCCCCTCCCTGTGTCCCTGTCCCCAGATGACCCCATGTCCCCTCCATGACCCTGTCCCCGGTGACCCCCGTGCCGTGGTGTCCCCGTGGTGTCCCCGGTGGCAGTCCGTGGTTCCGGTGACATCGGGTGACCCCTGGTGGCACCTGTGTCCCTTGCACGTCCCCTGCTGTCCCCTGGGCCCCGGTGTCCCCGGGTGCCAGTGGCTCCCTGGGTGACGTGGTGCCTGCTGGGTGCCCGTTGTCCCCCAGTGTCCCCCGTAGCCCGCATTGTCCCCTACTGCCCCCCCCATTGTCCCCCAGTGTCCTCTGTTGTCCCCCGGGTGCCACGGTGCCTGCTGGGTGCCCACTGTCCCCTGCTTGGTGCCCATTGTTCCTGCTGTCCCCTTCTGGGTGCCCACTGTCCCCCATTGTCCCCCACTGTCCCCGTTGTCCCCACTGTCCCCTGCTTGGTGCCCATTGTCCCTGCTGTCCCCTTCTGGGTACCCACTGTCCCCCATTGTCCCCCACTGTCCCCGTTGTCCCCCGGGTGTCTGTGGCCCCCACTGGGTGCCCACTGTCCCCCATTGTCCCCCATTGTCCCCTGCTGGGTGCCCACTGTCCCCACTGTCCCCCACTGGGTGCCCACTGTCCCCGCTGTCCCCCACTGGGTGCCCACTGTCCCCCATTGTCCCTTGCTGTCCCTGTTGTCCCCTGGGTGCCCACTGTCCCCCACTGTCCCATGCTGGGCACCCACTGTCCCCCACTGTCCCCCATTGTCCCCGTTGTCCGCAGCGTGGACCGGAAGGGGCAGTACCACTACCTGGTGAAGTGGCGGGACCTGCCCTACGACCAGGCCACCTGGGAGGAGGACGAGATGCCCATCCCTGACTACGACCTGCACAAGCTGGCCTACTGGAAACACCGGTGAGGGGGCACTGGGGGGACTGGGGACACTGGGGACACTGGGGGGACATGGGGGACATGGGGGGACACAGGGACATGCCTACTGGAAACACCGGTGAGGGGCACTGGGGACTGGGGACACTGGGGGACAGGGGGACATGGGAGACATAGGAGACATGGGGGACATGGGGACATGGGACACTGGGACATGCCTACTGGAAACACCGGTGAGGGGGCACTGGAGGACTGGGGACACTGGGGACACTGGGGACATGGGGACAATGGGGGACACAGGGACATGCCTACTGGAAACACCGGTGAGGGGGCACTGGGGGACTGGGGGGACACTGGGGGACACAGGGACATGCCTACTGGAAACACCGGTGAGGGGGCACTGGGGGACTGGGGACACTGGGGGACACTGGGGACATGGGGACAGTGGGGAGACACAGGGACATGCCTACTGGAAACACCGGTGAGGGGGCACTGGGAGGACTGGGGACACTGGGGGACACAGGGACATGCCTACTGGAAACACCGGTGAGGGGCACTGGGGACACTGGGGGGACATGAGGGACACAGGGACATGCCTACTGGAAACACCGGTGAGGGGCACTGGGGACACTGGGGGACCACTGGGGACAATGGGAGGACATGGGGGACACTGGGACATGCCTACTGGAGAGCACCGGTGAGGGGACACTGGGGACACTAGGGGGACATAGGGGACACCTGGGAGGACATGGGGGGACACTGGGACACAGGGACATGCCTACTGGAAACACCAGTGAGGGGACACTGGGGACACTGGGGGGACATGGGGGGACACTGGGGACAATGGGGGACATGGGGACACAGGGACATGCCTACTGGAAACACCGGTGAGGGGGCACTGGGGACAATGGGGGGACATGGGGGAACACAGAGACATGCCACATGCCTACTGGAAACACTGGTGAGGGGACACTGGGGCGACACTGGGGACACTGGGGACAATGGGGGGACACAGGGACATGGGGGGACACTGGGGACACTGGGGACACTGGGGGGACACAGGGACATGCCTACTGGAAACACCGGTGAGGGGACACTGGGGACAGGGGGGGGACACTGGGACATGGGGATGTGCACACTGGAAACACCAGTGAGGGGACAGGGACAGGAGGGGACACTGGGGGGGACAGGGGGACATGGAGGGACACAGGGACATGGGGCACAGGGACATGAGGACGTGCACACTGGGAACACCGGTGAGGGACAGGGGACACCGTGTCCCCGATGTTCTGACACTGCCATGTGACCCGCGTGTCCCCCGTGTCCCCATGTCCCCCTGTGTCCCCATGTCCCCCTCAGATCCCCCTGTGTCCCCATGTCCCCTGTGTCCCCCCGTGTCCCCGTGTCCCCTGTGTCCCCCCTGTGTCCCCCCGTCCCTGTGGCCCCCCATGTCCCCCATGTCCTCCATGTCCCCCTGTCCCCTCTGTGTCCCCCGTGTCCCCCGTATCCCCTCTGTGTCCCCCCCGTGTCCCCCTCGTGTCCCCAGGGAGGTGTTCATGGGGGAGGACCCCGCCCAGCCCCGGCGCTACAAGAAGAAGAAGAAGGAGACGCCGGGGGAGGGACCCCCCGACTCCCCCACCAACGACGTGAGTGCCCCCTGGGACCCCCTGGGACCCCCTGCATTTTGGGGTGCCCTGACCCCCCATTTTCTGCAGCCCATGGTGAAGTATGAGATGCTGTGCCCCTGGGGGGTGTTTAGGGGTGCTCTTGGGGGTGTTTTGGGGTTCCCTGACCCCCATTTTCTGCAGCCCACGGTGAAATACGAGACACTGTGCCTGTGGGGGGTGTTTTGGGGTGCCCTGTCCCCCTCTGTGCCCCTGGGGGGTGTTTGGGGGTGCCCTTGGCAGTGTTTTGGGGTACCCTGACCCCAATTTTCCCACAGCCCACGGTGAAATACGAGATGCTGTGCCCGTGGGGGTTGTTTAGGGGGTGCCCCTGGGGGTGTTTTGGGGTTCCCTGACCCCCCTGACCCCCATTTTCCTGCAGCCCACGGTGAAATACGAGACCCAGCCTCGGTTCATCACGGCCACGGGCGGGACCCTGCACCTGTACCAGCTGGAGGGGCTGAACTGGCTGCGCTTCTCGTGGGCCCAGAGCACCGACACCATCCTGGCCGACGAGATGGGGCTGGGCAAGACCATCCAGACCATCGTCTTCCTCTACTCCCTCTACAAGGAGGTGGGTGGGGGGCGCCCCTGCGGGTCTGGGGGGCACCCGAGTGGGTCTGGGGGCACCCCAGTGGCTCTGGGGGTACCTACATGGGTTTGGGGGGCACCCCTGTGGGTCTGGGGGGCACCCGTGGGGGTCTGGGGGTGCCTACATGGTCATTGGGGTCACTCAGATGGTCATTGGGGGCACCCACATGGGCGTGGGGTCACCCACGTGGTCATTGGGGGCACCCACATGGTCATTGGGGTAACCACATGGGCCTGGGGTCACCCACATGGTCATTGGGGTCACCTGCTGGGCCTGGGGTCACCCACATGGGCCTGGGGTCACCCACATGGTCACTGGGGTCACCCACATGGGTCTGGGGACACTCAGTCACTGCTGTCACCTGCCTGGCCTTGGTGTCACCCACCTGGGCCCTGGGGTCACCTACGTGGCCTCCAGTGTCACCTGCCTGGCCCCTGTCCCCACTGTCCCCCAGGGCCACCCTGGGGGCCTGTCCCCGTGTGTCCCCCTGTCACCCAGGCCCGTCCCCTGTCCTTGTGTCCCCGTGTGTCCCACTGTCCCCCAGGCCTGTCCCCTGTCCCCGTGTGTCCCTGTGTGTCCCACTGTCCCCCAGACCCGTCCCCTGTCCCCATATGACGCGCTGTCCCCCAGGGCCTGTCCCTGTGTCCTGGTGTGTCCCACTGCCCCCCGGGCCATCCCCTGTCCCTGTGTCCTGGTGTGTCCCACTGTCCCCCAGGGCCACCCTGGGGGCCCATCCCCTGTCCCCTGTCCCCGTGTGTCCTGCTGTCCCCCAGGGCCACACCAAGGGCCCATCCCCTGTCCCCGTGTGTCCCCGTGTGACGCGCTGTCCCCCAGGGCCACACCAAGGGCCTGTCCCCTGTCCCCTGTCCCCGTGTGACGCGCTGTCCCCCAGGCCCGTCCCCTGTCCCTGTGTGTCCCCCTGTCCCCAAGGGTCCAGACCCTGTCCCCCTGTCCCCGTGTGACGCGCTGTCCCCCAGGCCCGTCCCCTGTCCCCGTGTGTCCCACTGTCCCCCAGGGCCACCCCGGGGGCCCATCCCCTGTCCCCCTGTGACGCGCTGTCCCCCAGGCCCATCCCCTGTCCCTGTGTGTCCCCCTGTCCCCCAGGCCCATCCCCTGTCCCCTGTCCCCGTGTGACGCGCTGTCCCCCAGGCCCGTCCCCTGTCCCCGTGTGTCCCCCTGTCCCCCAGGGCCTGTCCCCGTGTGTCCCATTGTCCCCAGGCTCGTCCCCTGTCCCTGTGTCCCCCTGTCCCCAGGCCCATCCCCTGTCCCCTGTCCCCGTGTGACGCGCTGTCCCCCAGGGCCACCCCAGGTGCCCATCCCCTGTCCCCTGTCCCCGTGTGACGCGCTGTCCCCCAGGCCCGTCCCCTGTCCCTGTGTGTCCCCCTGTCCCCTAGGGCCTGTCCCTGTGTGTCCCATTGTCCCCCAGGCCCGTCCCCTGTCCCCGTGTGACGCGCTGTCCCCCAGGGCCACACCAAGGGCCCGTTCCTCGTCAGTGCCCCGCTCTCCACCATCATCAACTGGGAGCGGGAGTTCCAGATGTGGGCCCCGGCCTTCTACGTGGTCACCTACACCGGGGACAAGGACAGCAGGGCCATCATCCGCGAGAACGAGTTCTCCTTCGACGACACCGCCATGAAAGGCGGCAAGAAGGCCTTCAAGATGAAGGTGGGCAGGGTGGGGGGCACTCTGTGGGGTCAGGGGCAAGAAGGCCTTCAAGATGAAGGTGGGCAGGGTGGGGGCACAGGGGGCACTCTGTGGGGTCGGGGGGCACCAGGAACTGGGGTCAGTGAGGGGGTGGCACTGGACACCGGGGTCACTCCATGGGGTGAAAGGGGGGCACCTGCACAATGGGGTCACTCCATGGGGTGAGGGGGTGGCACTGGACACAGGGGTGATTTCATGGGGTGACAGGGGGCACTGGACACCGGGGTCACTCCATGGGGTGACGGGGGGGCACTGGACAATGGGGCACCCCCATGGGGTGAGGGGGTGACACTCCATACCAGGGTCACTCCATGGGGTGAGGGGGTGGCACTGGACACCGGGGTCACTCCATGGGGTGACAGGGGGGCACCTGCACAACAGGGTCACTCCATGGGGTGAGGGGTGGCACCGGACACCGGGGTCACTTCATGGGGGGCACCAGACACTGGGGTCACTCCATGGGGTGAGGGGGTGGCACTGGGGGCACTCCATGGGGTGACAGGGGGCACCTGCACAACAGGGTCACTCCATGGGGTGAGGAGTGGCACCGGACACCGGGGTCACCCCATGGGGTGAGGGTGGGGCACCGGGGTCACTCCATGGGGTGAGGGGGTGCATGACAACAGGGTCACTCCATGGGGTGAGCAGGGGCACTGGACACAGGGTCACCCCATGGGGTGAGGGTGGGGCACTGGGAGCACTCCGTGGGGTCAGGGGGTGGCACAGGACAACAGGGTCACTTCATGGGGTCTGGGGGTGGCACCTGGACACCTGAGGGTCACCTAGGGTGGTGTGGAGGGTTCTGGCAGGATGGGGGTGCTCTGTACCCCCATCCCACACCAGGGGGTATTAGGGGTGGTGTGGGAGGGATCCTGCTAGGGTGGGGGTGCCCTGTTCCCCCCATCCCACACCAGGGGGGTATTGGGGTGGTGTGGGAGGGTCCTGGCAGGGTGGGGGTGCCCTGTTCCCCCCATCCCACACCAGGGGGGCATTGGGGTGGTGTGGGGGTTCCTGGCAGGATGGGGGTGCCCTGTTCCCCCTGTCCCACACAGGAGGGTATTGGGTGGTGTGGGAGTTCCTGGCAGGGTGGGGTGCCTGTTCCCTGTCCACCAGGGGGTATTGGGGTGAGGTGGGGGTTCCTGGCAGGATGGGGGTGCCCCTATTCCTGTCCCACACCAGGAGGGTATTGGGGTGAGGTGGGGGGGTTCTGGCAGAGGTGGGGGTGCCCTGTTCCCCCTGTCCCACACTGGGAGGGTATCGGGGTGGGGTGTGTTCCTGGCAGGGTGGGGGTCCCCTATTCCCCAGGGTGGGTATCAGGATGGGGTGGGGTTCCTGGCAGGGTGGGGTGCCCTATTCTCCCACACAGGGTGGGTATCAGGATGGGGTTGGGGTTCCTGGCAGGGTGGGGGTGCCCTATTCCCCCCCACCGGGGGTATCAGGATGGGGTTGGGGTTCCTGGCAGGGTGGTGGTGCCCTGTTCCCCCTGTCCCACACGGTGGGATATCAGGATGGGGTGGGGGTCCCTGTTCCCAGGGTTGTTATGGGGGTAGGGTGGGGTGCCCTGTTCCCCTGTCCCACACCAGGGGGTATCAGGATGGTGGGGGTTCCTGGCAGGGTGGGGGTGCCCTGTTCCCCAGGTCCCACACGGGGGTATCAGGATGGGGTGGGGGTCCCTGTCAGGGTGGGGGTAGGGGGGGTGCCCTGTTCCCCCAGTCCCACACCAGGAGGGCATCGGGGTGGGGTGGGGGTTCCTGGCAGGGTGGGGGTGCCCTGTTCCCCCTGTCCCACACCAGGGGGGTATCAGGATGGGGTGGGGGTCCCCTGTTCCCAGGGTGGTTATGGGGGTAGGGTGGCGGTGCCCTGTTCCCCCTGTCCCACACCAGAGTGGATATCAGGATGGGGTGGGGGTTCCTGCTCAGGGTGGCAGAGTAGGGTGCCCTGTTCCCCCTGTCCCACACCGGGGGGTATCAGGATGGGTGGGGGTTCCTGTCAGGGTGGGGGTGCCCTGTTCCCCCCATCCCACACAGGATGGGTATCAGGATGGGGTGGGGGTCCCCTGTTCCCAGGGTGGGTATGGGGGTAGGGTGGGGGTGCCCTGTTCCCCCCGTCCCACACCAGGGGGGTATCAGGATGGGGTGGGGTTCCCCAGCCCCCTCCCCAGTGCTGATCTTGCCCCCCACCCGGGCAGAGGGAGGCCCAGGTGAAGTTCCACGTGCTGCTGACGTCCTACGAGCTGATCACCATCGACCAGGCGGCCCTGGGCTCCATCCGCTGGGCCTGCCTCGTGGTGGACGAGGCCCACCGGCTCAAAAACAACCAGTCCAAGGTGGGCAGGGGCTGGGGGGGCACCCCAGAACCTGGGGGGCACAGGGGAACACCTCAGTACCTGGGGGTGTGGGTGGGGGCACCTCAGTACCTGGGGGTGCAGGTGGGGGCACCTCAGTACCTGGGGGGTGGGTGGGGTGCCAGCCTGGGATGGTGGGGGCACCCCAAGGCCTGGGGACATGGGGAGGGGGCACCTGGACCCCCAGAGGTCTGTGGATGTCCTGGGAGGGGTCAGAGGGGTCACTCCCAAATTCTGGGGTCCGTGGGTGCCCTGGGTGGGGTCAGGGGGTCTGTCCCACACTGAGGGGTCCATGAGTGCCCTGGGTGGGATCAGGGGGTCTGTCCTGGACTGAGGGGTCCGTGGGTGCCTGGGTGGGCTCAGGGGGTCTGTCCCACACTGGGGGTCCATGAGTGCCTGGGTGGGGTCAGGGGGTCTGTCCCACACTGAGGGGTCCGTGGGTGCCCTGGGTGGGGTCAGGGGGTCTCCCACACTGAGGGGTCCATGAGTGATGCCCCCCCCAGTTTTTCCGGGTGCTGAACGGGTACAAGATCGAGCACAAGCTGCTGCTCACGGGGACGCCGCTGCAGAACAACCTGGAGGAGCTTTTCCACCTCCTCAACTTCCTCACGCCAGAGCGCTTCAAGTATGGGGTCCCCCCAGTGCCCCCTGTGCCCCCTGGGTCCCCTCCTGTCTCCCCCTGTCCACCGGGTCCCCTCCTGTCCCCCTCTGTCCCCTGGGTTCCCTCCTGTCCCCTGGGTTCCCTCCTGTCCCCATGGGTCCCCTCCTGTCCCCCTCTGTCCCCTGGGTTCCCCTCCTGTCCCCATGGGTCCCCTGTCCTGCCCTCCCTAGTTCTCCGGGTCCCCTCCTGTCTCCCCAGGTCCCTTCCTGTCCTGCTGGTCCCCCCTTGTCTTCTTCTGCCTTGCCTGTCACCTCTTGTCCCTTCCTGTCCCCACCCTGTCCCCTCCTGTCCCCCAGATCCCCTCCTGTCCCACCCTGTCCACTCCTGTCCCCTGAGTCCCCTCCTGTCCTCCCTGTCCTCTGGGTCTCCTCCTGTCCCCCCATCCCCTCCTATCCACTCCTGTCCCCCAGATCCCCTCCTGTCCCCTGTCCCCTCTCCTGCCCCCGGATCCTCTCTTGTCCCCCATCCCCTGGGTCCCCTCCTTTCCCCTGGGTCCCCTCCTGTCACCCCCTGTCCCCCATCCCTCTCCTGTCCCCAGATCCCTCCAGATCCCCTCCTGTCCCTGGGTCCCCTCCTGTCCCCTCTGTCCCCTTGGTCCACTCCTGTTCCCCCCATCCCCTCTCCTGCTCCCCCAGATCCCCTCCTGTCCCCCTGTCCCTCCTGTCTCCCCCCATCCCTCTCCTGCTCCCCCAGATCCCCTCCTGTCCCCCATTCCCCCTCCTCCTCCTCCCAGATCCCCTCCTGTCCCCCTGTCCCTCCTGTCCTCCCCATTCCCTCTCCTCTCCCCCCAGATCCTCCTGTCCTCCCCTGTCCCTCCGTCCCCCACCCTCTCCTCCCCAGATCCCTCCGCGCTGTGTCCCCCCACTCCTCCGTCACCCCCCCTGCCCTCTGTGCAGCAACCTGGAGGGTTTCCTGGAGGAGTTTGCCGACATCTCCAAGGAGGACCAGATCAAGAAGCTGCACGACCTGCTGGGGCCGCACATGCTGCGGCGCCTCAAGGCCGACGTCTTCAAGAACATGCCGGCCAAGACCGAGCTCATCGTGCGCGTCGAGCTCAGCCCCATGCAGAAGTAGGCCCGGGGTCCCCCGGGGGGGCAGGGGGGGTGTCCCTCGGCTCCCCCCCCCCCGTGTGAGGAGGGGTCCCCAGAGCCCCCGGGTCCCACGGCTGTCCCCGCAGGAAGTACTACAAGTACATCCTGACGCGCAACTTCGAGGCGCTCAACTCGCGGGGCGGGGGCAACCAGGTGTCGCTGCTCAACATCATGATGGACCTCAAGAAGTGCTGCAACCACCCCTACCTGTTCCCCGTGGCTGCCATGGTGAGCGGGGCACGGGGCTGGGGGCACGGGGGGACAGGGACAGGGGGACAGGGAGGGATGTGGGGACAGGGAGGGGGATGTGGGGACAGGGGAGAGGATGTGGGGACAGGGATGTGGGGGACAGGGAGGGGATGTGAGGGACAGGGAGGGGATGGAGGGACAGGAGGAGAGACAGGGAAGGGATGGAGGGACAGGGAGGGATGTGGGGACAGGGAGGGGACGGAGGGACAGGGAGGGGATGTGGGGACAGGGAGGGACATGGGGACAGGAGGGGATGGAGGGACAGGGAGGGGATGGAGGGACAGGGGAGAGGATGGAGGGGCTGTGGGATGTGGGGACAGGGAAGGATTTGGGGACAGGGAGGGGATGGGGGACAGGAGGGACATGGGGACAGGGAGGGATGGAGGGCTGTGGGATGGGGGACAGGAGGAGGATGTGGGGACAGGGAGGGGATGGAGGGCTGTGGGATGGGGGGACAGGAGGGACATGGGGACAGGGAGGGACATGGGGACAGGGAGGGGATGGAGGGACAGGGAGGGACATGGGGACAGGGAGGGGATGGAGGACAGGGAGGGATGTGGGGACACGGGACATGGGGACGGGGGATGTGGGGACAGGAGGGGATGGAGGGGTGTTGGGGGACGTGGGGATGAGGAGGGATGGAGGGACAGGGAGGGATTGGGGACAGGGAGGGGATAGAGGGCTGTGGGATGTGGGCACAGGGAGGGGATGGAGGGGTGTGGGATGTGGGCACAGGGAGGGGATGTGGGGACAGGGAGGGGATGGAGGGGATAGAGGGCTGTGGGATGTGGGCACAGAGAGGGGAGGTGGGGACAGGGAGGGCTCTGGGATGTGGGGGGACTTGGGGACACGGAGGGGACACTCTCCAACCCCCAAGGAAGGGATGGAGAGACCTGGAGAGGATTTGGGGCCGTGGGGGGGTTGGAGGGATGTGGGATGGAGGGGCACAGGAGTTGGGGCAGGGGGGCCCTGTGGTGACGTCCCTGCCCCCTCCCTGTCCCCCCAGGAGTCCCCGAAGCTGCCGAGCGGTGCCTACGAGGGGGGGGCTCTGATCAAGGCCTCGGGGAAACTGCTCCTGCTGCAGAAGATGCTGCGGAAGCTGAAGGAGCAGAACCACCGGGTGCTCATCTTCTCCCAGGTGGGGCCCCAAATCCACCCAGAACCTCCCCAAATCCACCCAGAACCACCCCAAAACCACACAGAACCACCCCAGAACCACCCCAAAACCACCCCAAACCATCCCAAAACCACCCAAATCCACCCCAAAACCACCCAGATCCACCCAGAACCACCCAAATCCACCCAGAACCACCGGGTGCTCATCTTCTCCCAGGTGGGGCCCAAAATACACCCCAGATCCACCCCAAATCCACCCAGAACCACCCCAAAACCACCCCAAATCCACCCCAAAACCACCCAAATCCACCCAGAACCATCGGGTGCTCATCTTCTCCCAGGTGGGGCCCCAAATCCACCCCAAAACGCCCCCAGTGCTCCCAGTGTCTGTCCCAGCACCCCCAGATCCTCCCAGTCTGCCCAGTCTGAGGTTCCCCTGCCCCCTGGCTGCTCCCAACGTTCCCAGTGGGTGCTACCCCTGCCCCCTGGGTGCTCCCAGTATAACCAGTATGAAGTCCCTGTTCCCCATTGCTGCTCCCAGTATAACCAGTATGAAGTCCCCGTGCCCCCTGGGTGCCGTCCCTGTTCCCGCTGGGTGCTCCCAGTATAACCAGTATGAAGTCCCCGTGCCCCCTGACTGCTCCTAGTATAACCAGTATGAAGTCCCCATGCCCCCTGGCTGCTCCCAGTATAACCAATATGAAGTCCCTGTTCCCCCTGGCTGCTCCCAGTACAACCAGTATGAAGTCCCCGTGCCCCCTGGTTGCTCCCAGTATAACCAGTATGAAGTCCCTGTTCCCCCTGGCTGCTCCCAGTATAACCAGTATGAAGTCCCCGTGCCCCCTGGGTGCTCCCAGTATAACCAGTATGAAGTCCCCGTGCCCCCTGGGTGCCGCCCCTGCCCGCTGGGGCCCTCCCAGTCCAACCAGTGCCCCGCAGATGACGAAGATGCTGGACCTGCTGGAGGATTTCCTGGACTACGAGGGCTACAAATACGAGCGCATCGACGGCGGCATCACCGGGGCCCTGCGGCAGGAGGCCATCGACCGCTTCAACGGTAGGGAGCGGGGGGAACGGGGGGACTGGGGGGTCTGGGGGGAGCCAGGGGGTCTGAGGGGCTTGGGGGATCCAGGGGATTGGGGAGTCTGGGGGATTGAGGGATTGGGGGATTGGGGGTTTTGAGGTATTAGGGGGGTCTGGGGATCTGGGGAGTCAGGAGGGCCATCGACCGCCTCAACGGTAGGGAGCGTGGGGAACGGGGGGATTGGAGGGGCTGGGGGCTGGGGGATCCAGGGGGATTGGGGGATCTGGGGGGATTGGGGGCACCCAGGGAATTGGGGCACCCAGGGGATTGGGGGAATTGGGGGTCTGGGGATCTGGGGAGTCAGGAGGCCATCGACCGCCTCAACGGTAGGGAGCGGGGGAACGGGGGACTGGGGGCTGGGGGATCCAGGGGGCTGGGGGCATCCAGGGGGTCTGAGGGGATTGGGGATCGAGGGGGTCTGAGGGGATTGGGGGTCTGGGGATCTGGGGACTCAGGAGGCCATCGACCGCCCAACGGTAGGGAGGGGGAACTGGGGACCGGGGGCATCCAGGAGGGTCTGGGGCATCCAGGGGGTCTGAGGGGCTTGGGGGATCCAGGGTTGATTGGAGGGTCTGGGGGGATTGGGGTCTGGAGGGATCTGGGGATCCAGGGAGGATTGGGGGACTGAGGGGGCTGGGGGATTGGGGGTCTGGGGATCCAGGGGGATGCAGGTATAAGAGGGGGAGATCCAGGTGCAAAGGGGGACCCCGGGGTTTGGAGGATCTGGGGTTTGGGGGTTCTGGGTTCAGGATTTGGGGTTTTGGGGGTTTTTGGGTCCTCTGTCCTCGCTGACGCCGGGGCAGCGCTGGGGGTTTGGGGGTTCTGGGTTGGGGTTTTGGGGTTTTTGGGGTTTTTGGGGTCCCTGTCCACACTGACGCCGGGGGCAGCGCTGGGGGTTGGAGGTTCTGGGTTGGGGTTTTGGGGGGTTTTTGGGGTCCCTGTCCGCACTGATGCCAGGGGGGCAGTGCTGAGGGGTTTGGGGGGTTCTGGGTTGGGTTTTTGGAGGGTTTTTGGGGTCCCTGTCCGCGCTGACGCCGGGGGGGCAGCGCCGGGGGCGCAGCAGTTCTGTTTCCTGCTGTCGACGCGGGCCGGGGGCCTCGGCATCAACCTCGCGACGGCCGACACCGTCGTCATCTTTGACTCCGACTGGAACCCCCACAACGACATCCAGGTCTGGCACCCGCCTGTCACCTGCCCAGGGTCACCTGTCACCCGCCTGTCACCCACCCGGGGTCACCTGCCCAGGGTCACCTGTCACCCACCTGTCACCCACCCAGGGTCACCTGCCCTCTGTCACCCGTCACCCACCCAGGGTCACCCACCTGTCACCTGCCTAGGGTCACTGCCCAGTGTTACCTGTACAGTGTCACCATCCCAACACCCTGTCACCTGTCCCTGCATTCCCCCTCACCTGTCCCTGTGTCCCCCCTCACCTGTCCCCGTGCCCCCCAGGCGTTCAGCCGCGCCCACCGCATCGGGCAGGGTGTCCCCCCATGTCACATGGGGTGTCCCCACGTGTCCCCTGGGGTGTCCCCACGTGTCCCCTGGGGTGTCCCTGGCCTGTCCTGACCTGTCCCTCACCTGTCCCTGTGTCTCCTCTGACCTGGCCCCCCCCTCCAGGCGTTCAGCCGCGCCCACCACATCGGGCAGGGTGTTACCCCATGTCCCCTGGAGTGTCCCCCCATGTCCCCTGACCTGTCCCTGACCTGTCCCTCACCTGTCCCTGACCTGTCCCCGCCCCCCCAGGCGTTCAGCCACGCCCACCGCATCGGGCAGGGTGTCCCCACGTGTCACATGGGGTGTCCCCACATGTCCCTGACCTGTCCCTGACCTGTCCCTGTGTCCCCCCTGACCTGTCCCGTGCCCCCAGGCGTTCAGCCGTGCCCACCGCATCGGGCAGGGTGTTACCCCATGTCACCTGGAGTGTCCCCACATGTCCCCTGACCTGTCCCTGACCTGTCCCCGTCCCCCCAGGTGTTCAGCCGCGCCCACCGCATCGGGCAGGGTGTCACCACATGTCACCTCACCTGTCCCTCACCTGTCCCCGTCCCCCCAGGCGTTCAGCCGCACCCACCGCATCAGGCAGGGTGTTACCCCATGTCACCTGGAGTGTCCCCACGTGTCCCCTCACCTGTCCCTCACCTGTCCCTCACCTGTCCCCATGCCCCCCAGGTGTTCAACCACACCCACTGCATCGGGCAGGGTGTCCCCATGTGTCCCCTGAGGTGTTCCCACATGTCCCTGCCCTGTCCCTCACCTGTCCCTCACCTGTCCCTCACCTGTCCCTCACCTGTCCCCGTGCCCCCCAGGCGTTCAGCCGTGCCCACCGCATCGGGCAGGGTGTTACCCCATGTCCCCTGGGGTGTCCCTGTGTCCCTCACCTGTCCCTGTGCCCCCCAGACATTCAACCGCGCCCACCACATCGGGCAGGGTGTTACCCCATGTCACCTGGAGTGTCCCCCCATGTCGCCTCACCTGTCCCTGACCTGTCCCCATCCCCCCAGGCGTTCAGCCGTGCCCACCGCATCGGGCAGGGTATCCCCATGTCACCTGGGGTGTCCCCACGTGTCGCCTGACCTGTCCCTGACCTGTCCCTCACCTGTCCCTGCCCCCCAGGCATTTAGCCGCGCCCACCGCATCGGGCAGGGTGTCCCCACGTGTCCCCTGGGGATTCCCTCACCTGTCCCTCACCTGTCCCTCACTTGTCCCCGTTCCCCCAGGCGTTCAGCCGTGCCCACCGCATCAGGCAGGGTGTTACCCCATGTCACCTGGAGTGTCCCCCGTGTCCCCTGGGGTGTCCCCGCATGTCTCCTGACCTGTCCCTGACCTGTCCCTGACCTGTCCCTGTGTCTCCCCTCACCTGTCCCTGTGCCCCCCAGGCGTTCAGCCGCGCCCACTGCATCGGGCAGGGTGTCACCCCATGTCACCTGGGGTGTCCCCACATGTCCCCTCACCTGTCCCTCACCTGTCCCTCACCTGTCCCTCACCTGTCCCTGCCCCCCAGGCGTTCAGCCGCGCCCACCGCATCGGGCAGGGTGTTACCCCATGTCACCTGGAGTGTCCCCCCATGTCGCCTCACCTGTCCCTGACCTGTCCCCATCCCCCCAGGCGTTCAGCCGTGCCCACCGCATCGGGCAGGGTATCCCCATGTCACCTGGGGTGTCCCCACGTGTCCCCTGACCTGTCCCTCACCTGTCCCTGACCTGTCCCCGCCCCCCCAGGCGTTCAGCCGCGCCCACCGCATCGGGCAGGCCAACAAGGTGATGATCTACCGGTTCGTGACGCGGGCGTCGGTGGAGGAGCGCATCACGCAGGTGGCCAAGCGCAAGATGATGCTGACGCACCTGGTGGTGCGCCCGGGGCTGGGCTCCAAGGCCGGCTCCATGTCCAAGCAGGAGCTCGACGACATCCTCAAGTTCGGCACCGAGGAGCTCTTCAAGGACGAGAACGAGGGTCAGGCGGGGGGCAGGGGGAGGGAGAGGGAGTGGGAGTGGGGTGGGCTTTGCTGGGAGTGGGACTGGGATGTGTGGAGGAGGATGGGGCCCTGTTGGGCCATGTTGGACCGTGTGGGGCCCTACTGGGACGGGTGGGATGGGACTGGGATGTGTGGAGGGGGGTGGGGCCCTGTTGGGCCGTGTTGGACCGTGTGGGGCTCTACTGGGACAGCTGGGGTGGGACTGGGATGTGTGGAGGCATGTGGGGTCGTGGAGGGCCCTGTTGGGCCATGTTGGACCGTGTGGGGCCCTGCTGGGACAGGTGGGACGGGACTGGGATGTGTGGAGGAGAGTGGGGCCCCATTGGGCCATGTTGGACCATGTGGGGCCCTGCTGGGATGGGTGGGACAGGACTGGGATGTGAGGAGGAGGGTGGGGGCCGTGTTGGGCCGTGTTGGACCGTGTTGGATTGTCCTGGGCTGTGTTGGGCCGTGTTGGTCCATGTGGGGCCGTCTTGGTCCATTTTGGGCCATGTTGGACCGTGTTGGACCGTGTTGGGCCATGTTGGATTGTCCTGGGCTGTGTTGGGCCACGTTGGACTATGTGGGGCCGTGTTGGGCCATGTCAGGCTGTGTTGGACCATGTGGAGCCATGTTGGACCATTTTGGGCCATGTTGGATTGTCCTGGGCTGTGTTGGGCCACATTGGACTATGTGGGGCCATGTTGGGCCATGTTGGACCATGTTGGGCCATATGGGGCTGTGTTGGACCATTTTGGGCCATGTTGGTCCATGTTGGATTGTCCTGGGCTGTGTTGGGCCATGTTGAACCATGACAGACCATGTTGGGCCATGTTGGGCTGTGTTGGTCCATGTGGGGCCGTGTTGGACCATTTTGGGCCACGTTGGGCCATGTTGGATTGTCCTGGGCTGTGTTGGGCCATGTTGAACCATGACAGGCCATGTTGGGCCGTGTTGGTCCATGACAGGCCATGTTGGGCCATGTTGGGCTATGACAGTCTGTGTTGGGACCGTCCTGGGCTGTGTTGGAACACGCCAAGGCTGTGTTGGTCCGTGTTGGAGCATGTTGGGCCGTGTTGGAGCACGTTGGGCCGTCTTGGGCCATCTTGGACCGTGTGGGGCCGTGTTGGGCCATGTCACTCACATGTCAGACCGTGTCACCTTCGTGTCACATCCACGTCACATCCACACGGGAGAACGAGGAGGAGGACAGGGGGTCGCTCCTGTGTCATTGCCGTGTCCCTGCCCTGCCATTCCCGTGCCATTCCCATACCATTCCCATGCCATTCCCATGCCATTCCCATGCCATTCCCATGCCATTCCCATGCCATTCCCATGCCATTCCTGTGTCCCCAGGAGAGAACAAGGAGGGGACAGGGGGTCACTCCTGTGCCATTGCCGTGTCCCTGCCCTGCCATTCCCGTGTCATTCCCATGCCATTCCTGTGTCATTGCCATGCCATTCCCATGCCATTCCCGTGTCATTCCCATGCCATTCCCATGTCCCAGGAGAGGACAAGGAGGGGACAGGGGGTTGTTGTGTCATTCCCATGCCATTCCCATGTCATTCCCATGCCATTCCCGTGTAATCCCGTGCCATTCCCATGTCCCAGGTGAGAACAAGGAGGAGGACAGGGGGTTGTTGTGTCATTGCCATGCCATTCCCATGTCCCAGGAGAGGACAAGGAGGGGACAGGGGGTTGTTGTGTCATTGCCATGTCCCTGCTGTGCCCCAGGAGAAAACAAGGAGGAGGACAGGGGGTTGTTGTGCCATTCCCGTGTCGTTCCTGTGTCCCCAGGTGAGAACAAGGAGGAGGACAGCAGCGTCATCCACTACGACAACGAGGCCATCGCGCGGCTCCTGGACCGCAACCAGGACGCCACCGACGACGCCGACGTGCAGAACATGAACGAGTACCTGAGCTCCTTCAAGGTGGCCCAGTACGTCGTCAGGGAGGAGGACAAGGTGGGACCGCCACGGGGGGACACGGGGGGGGACAGGGCAGGGGGTGGGAGTGACGGGGGTGATGAACGTGATGGGGATGATGGAGGTGATGAGGATGATGGGGATGATGAAGGTGATGGGGATGAAGAAGGTGATGGAGGTGATGAGGGTGATGAGGGTGATGGAGGTGATGAAGGTGGTGATGGGGATGAAGAAGGTGATGGAGGTGATGGGGATGATGAAGGTGATGGGGATGATGAAGGTGATGAAGGTGATGAGGGTGATGAAGGTGATGGGGACAATGAAGTCAATGGAGAAGAAGAAGATGATGAAGGTGATGGGGATGATGAAGATGATGAGGATGATGAAGGTGATGGGGATGATGAAGGTGATGAGGATGATAAAGGTGATGGGGATGATGAAGGTGATGAGGATGATGAAGGTGATGAGGATGATGAAGGTGATGGGGATGATGAAGGCCATGGGGATGATGAGGATGATGAAGGTGATAAAGGCAATGGGGATGATGGAGTTGATGGAGAAGAAGATGATGGGGATGATGAGGATGATGATGGGGATGGTGGGGATGATGACGGTGATGGAGGTGATGGGGATGATGAAGGCAGTGGGGATGATGAGGATGATGAAGGTGATAAAGGCAATGGGGATGATGAAGGTGATGGGGATGACAATGATGGAGATGATGAGGATGATGAAGCTGATGGGGATGATGAGGATGATGAAGGTGATGGGGATGATGAAGATGATGAGGATGATGAAGGTGATGGGGGTGATGAAGGTGATGAGGATGATAAAGGTGATGGGGATGATGAAGGTGATGAGGATGGTGGGGATGATGAAGATGAGGAGGATGATGAAGGGGATGATGAAGGTGATGAGGACGATGAAGGCCATGGGGATGATGGCAGTGGGGCCTCTGGCTCTGGGACCCCCCCAGACCCTCAGGACCCCCCAGTGGGCGCTGGCAGAGGGGGTGGGACCCCCCCAGACCCTCAGGACCCCCCTGTTGGGCCCTGGCAGAGCAGGTGGGACCCCCCCAGACCCCCAGGCCCCCCAGGCCGAGCCGGGGCCGGCGCTGACGGGGCCGTGTCGGGGCAGATCGAGGAGATCGAGCGGGAGATCATCAAGCAGGAGGAGAACGTGGACCCCGATTACTGGGAGAAGCTGCTGAGGCACCACTACGAGCAGCAGCAGGAGGACCTGGCACGGAACCTGGGCAAGGGCAAGCGCGTCAGGAAGCAGGTCAACTACAATGACGCTGCCCAGGAGGACCAAGGTGGGCACTGGGGGCACTGGGAGGCACTGGGAGGCGTTAGGATGGCACTGGGAGGCACTGGGAGGCGTTAGGATGGCACTGGGAGGGCACTGGGAGGCACTGGTGCAGAACCTGGGCAAGGGCAAGCGCGTCAGGAAACAGGTCAACTACAATGACGCCGCCCAGGAGGACCAAGGTGGGCACTGGGGGCACTGGGAGGCACTGGGAGGAGTTAGGATGGCACTGGGAGGGACTGGGAGGCGTTAGGATGGCACTGGGAGGGACTGGGAGGCGTTAGGATGGCACTGGGGGCACTGGGGGCACTGGGAGGCGTTAGGATGGCACTGGGAGGCGTTAGGATGGCACTGGGAGGGCACTGGGAGGCCAAGGATGGGCACTGGGGGCACTGGGGAGGCACTGGGAGGCGCTGAGGGCACTGCGGGCACTAGGATGGCACTGGGAGGCGGTAGGATGCCACTGGGAGGTGTTAGGACGGCACTGGGAGGGCACTGGGAGGCACTGGTGCAGAACCTGGGCAAGGGCAAGCGCATCAGGAAACAGGTCAACTACAATGACGCTGCCCAGGAGGACCAAGGTGGGCACTGGGGGCACTGGGAGGCACTGGGAGGGACTGGGGGGATACTGGGAGGCACTGGTGCAGAACCTGGGCAAGGGCAAGCGCGTCCCAAAGCTGGTCAACTACAACGATCGTGCCCAGGAGGACCAAGGTGGGCACTGGGGGCACTGGAGGGATACTGGGGGGCACTGGGAGGCACTGGAGGGATACTGGGAGGCACTGGGAGTTACTGGGGGGCACTGGGGCGCGGTGTGCCCGGTGCTGACGGTGCCCCCCAGACAACCAGTCCGAGTACTCGGTGGGCTCCGAGGAGGAGGACGAGGACTTCGATGAGCGGCCGGAGGGTGAGTGACCCCTGAGTGACCCCTGAGTGACCCCTGAGTGACCCCTGTGACCCCTGAGTGACCCCTGAGTGACCTCTGAGTGACCCCTGAGTGACCTCTGTGACCCCTGAGTGTCCACTGAGTGACCCCTGAGTAACCTCTGAGTGACCCCTGAGTGACTCCCTGAGTGACCCCTGAGTGACCCCTGTGTGACCCCTGAGTGACCCCTGAGTGACCTCTGAGTGACCCCTGAGTGACCCCTGAGTGACCCCTGAGTGACCCCTGAGTGTCCCCTGAGTGACCCCTGAGTGACCCCTGAGTGACCCCTGAGTAACCTCTGTGACCCCTGAGTGACTTCTGTGACCCCTGAGTGACCCCTGAGTGTCCACTGAGTGACCCCTGAGTGACCTCTGAGTGACCCCTGTGACCCCTGAGTGACCTGAGTGACCTCTGTGACCCCTGAGTGTCCACTGAGTGTCCTCTGGACCCCTGAGTGACCCCTGAGTGACCCCTGAGTGACCTCTGAGTGACCCCTGAGTGACCCCTGAGTGTCCCCTCAGTGTCCCCCTGGGTGCCCCCTCTGTCTGGGGAGGGGTCTGGGTGGCACTGGGGGTGGGGGAGGGGGACCCAGAGGAGGGGTCTGGGTACCCCAAGGTGGGGTTGGGATGCCCTGGGGAGGAATTTGGGGTGCCCTTGGGGGTCAGGGTGTCCCAGGGGGGTATTTGGGGTGCCCTTGGGGGTCAGGGTGCCTTGAGGAGGGTCAGGGTTGGGGGGTGGTCGGGTGCTCCGGGGTGGGGTTTTGGGGTGCCAGGGGTGGGTGCTGACCCTCTGACCCCCCTGACCCCCTTTCCCCAGGCCGCCGTCAGTCCAAGCGGCAGCTCCGGGCGAGAAGGACAAGCCCCTCCCCACTGCTGGCCCGGGTGGGGGCAACATCGAGGTGAGGGACCCCCAAACCCCTGGGACCCCCAAAACCCTGGGACCCTCTCCAAAACCCCTGGGACCCCCAAACCCCTGGACCCCCTCAAACCCCTGGGACCCCCAAAACCCTGGGACCCCCTAAACCCCTGGGACCCCCCCAAACCCCTGGGACCCCCCCAAAACCCCTGGGACCCCTCCTAAACCCCTGGGACCCCCCCTAAACCCCCTGGGACCCCCAAACCCCTGGGACCCCCCAAAACCCCTGGGACCCCTCTAAACCCCTGGGACCCCCTAAACCCCTGGGACCCTCTAAACCCTGGGACCCCCTAAACCCTGGGACCCCCAAAACCCCTGGGACCCCCCAAAACCCTGGGACCCCCAAAACCCCTGGGACCCCCAAACCCCTGGGACCCCCAAAACCCTGGGACCCCCAAACCCCTGGGACCCCCTAAACCCCTGGGACCCCCTAAACCCCTGGGACCCCCAAAACCCTGGGACCCCTAAACCCCTGGGAGCCCCTAAACCCCTGGGACCCCCCAAAACCCTGGGACCCCAAAACCCCTGGGACCCCCTAAAACCCCTGGGACCCCCTAAACCCCTGGGACCCCCAAACCCCTGGGACCCCTAAACCCCTGGACTCCCCCCAAACCCCTGGGACCCCCAAAACCCCTGGGACCCCCCAAAACCCCTGGGACCCCCCAAAACCCCTGGGACCCCTCTAAACCCCTGGGACCCCCAACCCCTGGGACCCTCCCCAAAACCCCTGGGACCCCCAAAACCCCTGGGACCTCTCTAAACCCCTGGGACCCCCTAAACCCCTGGGACCCCCCAAAACACCCTGGGACCCCCCCAAACCCCTGGGACCCCCTAAACCCCCTGGGACCCCCAAACCCCTGGAACCCCCCAAACCCCTGGATTCCCAGTGAGGGGGATTCAGGGATCTCCTGGACCCCCTGTTTGTCCCCTGGTTTGGGGACAGGGTGAGGGGGTGCCCAGGATGTCCCTCTGAGCCCCCGTGCTCTGTGACCCCCCTGAGCCCCCTAAATCCCCTGTGCCCCCTCAAATGCCCCCTGTGCCCCCCCAGGTGCTGGGGTTCAACCCCAGCAGCTCAAGGCGCTCCTGAACGCTGTGATGCGCTGGGGGATGGGGGCTGTGCCCCATACCTGTGCCCTCTATGAACCCCTGTGACCCCTGTGACCTCCTGACCCCTGTGACCCCCCCAAATTCCCCCGTGCCCCCCCAAATCCCCTCTGTAACCCCCCCCAGGTGCTGGGGTTCAACCCCTGGCAACTCAAGGCGTTCCTGAACGCCTGGATGTGCTGGGGATGGGGGCTGTACCCCATACCTGTGTCCCCTGGACTCCTCGTGACCCCCCATGTCCCCTGACCCCCTAGTGTCCCCCCTGACTCCCCCATGTCCCCTGACCCCTGTGACCCCCCATGTCCCCAATGTCCCCCTGACTCCCCATGTCCCCCCAGGTGCTGGGGTTCAACACGACGCAGAGGAAGGCGTCCTCAACGCTCGTCATGCGCTGGGGGATGGGGGCTGTGACCCCATACCTGTGACCCCTGTGACCCCCTGTGACCCCCTGACCCCTGTGACCCCCTGACCCTGTGCCCCCTGACCCCTGTGACTCCTGTGACCCCCTGACCCCCTGTGACCCCCTGACTTCCCCTGTGCCCCCCAGGTGCTGGGGTTCAACACGAGGCAGAGGAAGGCGTTCCTCAACGCCGTCATGCGCTGGGGATGGGGGCTGTGACCCCTGTACCCTGTGACCCCCTGTGACTCCCCTGTGACCCCCATGTCCCCTAATGTCCCCAATGTCCCCTGGTGTCCCCCAGGTGCTGGGGTTCAACACGAGGCAGAGGAAGGCGTTCCTCAACGCCGTCATGCGCTGGGGGATGGGGGGCTGTGACCCCATACCTGATCCCCCTGTGACCCCTGTGACCCCCCCTGTGACCCCATACCTGTGCCCCCCTGTGACCCCCTAGACCCCTGTGACCCCCCATGTCCCCCTGACCTCCCTGTGCCCCCAGGTGCTGGGGTTCAACACGAGGCAGAGGAAGGCGTTCCTCAACGACGTCATGCGCTGGGGATGGGGGCTGTGACCCCATACCTGTGACCCCTGTGACCCCCTAGCGACCCCCCTGACCCCCTGACCCCCAATGTCCTCCTGGTGTCCCCTCAGGTGCTGGGGTTCAACACGAGGCAGAGGAAGGCGTTCCTCAACGCCGTCATGCGCTGGGGGATGGGGGCTGTGACCCTGTACCTGTGACCCCCTGTGCCCCCTGTGACCCCCCTGTGACCCCCTCAGACCCCCTGACCCCTGTGACCCCCATGTCCCCTGGTGTCCCCCAGGTGCTGGGGTTCAACACGAGGCAGAGGAAGGCGTTCCTCAACGCCGTCATGCGCTGGGGGATGCCCCCCCAGGACGCCTTCACCTCCCAGTGGCTCGTGCGGGACCTGCGGGGCAAAACCGAGAAGGAGTTCAAGTGGGTGGCACCTGGGAGGGGCATCGGGGGTGGCACCGGGAGGGGGACAACGAGGGGGGACATCAGGGATTGGGGGTGACAACGAGGGCAGGGGGTGGCATCAGGGATTGGGGGTGGCATCGAGGTGGGTTGTGATATCAGGGACAGGTGGTGGCATCAGGGACAGGTGGTACTGGGGACTCCCCAATAACCCCCCGTCCCCGCTGTCCCTCTGTGTCCCAGCTGTGCCCCCATGTCCCCCCTGTCCCCCCCCGTCCCCGCTGTCCCCTCATGTCCCCCTGTGTCCCTGCTGTCCCCCCACATCCCCACTGTCCCTCTATGTCCCCTGCTGTCCCCTCATGTCCCCACTGTCCCCCCACTGTCCCCCCATGTCCCCTCATGTCCCCCACTGTCCCCTCATGTCCCCCCATGTCCCTGCATGTCCCCCATGTCCCCTCATGTCCCCACTGTCCCCCCATGTCCCCCATGTCCCCTCCTCATGTCCCCCCACTGTCCCCCATGTCCCCCACTGTCCCCCACTGTCCCCCCATGTCCCCCTCATGTCCCCCCATGTCCCCCATGTCCCCCCATGTCCCCTCATGTCCCCCCATGTCCCCTCATGTCCCCCCATGTCCCCCATGTCCCCCCATGTCCCCTCCATGTCCCCATGTCCCCATGTCCCCTGCACCAGATGATGACCCCTTACTCAGCCCCGAGTGTCCATGCCTCAGTGTCCCCCTGCAGCTGTACCAGCCCCCATGTCCCCCTCATGTCCCTCGTGTCCCCCCATGTCCCCAGCTGTCCCACCCATGTCCCCAGTGTCCCCCTCATGTCCCCCCATGTCCCCCCATGTTCCCTGTCGTGTCCCTCATGTCCCCTGTATCCCCAGCACCAGCATGATGATCCCCTACTCAGCCGATGCGCCACCGCTGTCGGTGTCTCCTAGGGTCGGACCAGTCCCCCATGTCCCCCCATGTCCCCAATGTCCCCTCATGTCCCCTCATGTCCCCCATGTCCCCCCATGTCCCCCCATGTCCCCCCTATGTCCCCTCATGTCCCCTCATGTCCCCTCATGTCCCCGTGTCCCTGCACCAGATGATGATCCCTTACTCAGCCGAGTGCCGGTGCTGTTGGTGTTTCCTGGGGGCTGGACGAGCCCCTGTGCCCCCATGTCCCCCAATGTCCCCTCATGTCCCCCATGTCCCCCAATGTCCCCTCATGTCCCCTGTGTCCCTGCTGTCCCTGCTGTCCCTGCTGTCCCTGCATGTCCCTGCACCAGATGATGATCCCTTACTCAGCCGAGCGCCGGCGCTGTCGGTGTTTCCTGGGGGCCGGACGAGCCCCCCGAGCCCCCCTCAGCCCGACACAGAGACACCCCCGGGGTCCCCCCTGCCCCCCGGGGGGCCGGCCCTGGCCCAGGGGACGCCAGAGCCGTGGCAGGACCCGCCCCAGGGCCCGGCACAGCCACGACTGGCGCCGTGACGAGGGGAGGGCTGATGGTGCGGGGATGGGGACACGGGGACTGGTGGCACTGGGGACACTGGGACAGGGGGACACGGGGACTGTGGGGACAGCAGGGACAACCACGACGGGCACCGTGACGAGTGGAGGGCTGATGGTGCGGGATGGGGACACGGGACAGGGGGACACGGGGACAGGGGGACATGGGGACAGGGGGACATGGGGACAGGGGGACACGGGACGGGGGGACACGGGGACAGGGGGACACGGGGACAGGGGGACACGGGGACGGGGGGACACGGGGACAGGGGGACACGGGGACGGGGGGACACGTGGGACAGGGGGGACAGTGGGACTGTGGTGGCACTGGGGACACTGGGACTGTGGGGACAGCCACGACGGGCGCCGTGACGAGGGGAGGGCTGATGGTGCGGGGACGGGGACACGGGGACTGTGGGGACAGTGGGGACTGTGGGGACAGTGGGGACTGTGGGGACAGTGGGGACAGCAGGGACACGGGGACAGTGGGGACAGTGGGACTGTGGTGGCACTGGGACAGTGGGCACAGCCACGACTGGTGCCATGACGAGGGGAGGGCTGATGGTGCGGGGACGGGGACACGGGGACAGGGGGGACACTGGGACAGTGGGACTGTGGGGACAAGGTTCCTGGAGATGGGAACAAGGACCTTGGGGACAGGATCTATGGGGACAGAGATCTATGGGGACAGAGATCTATGGGGACAGGGATCTGTGGGGCCAGGCTCCCAGCTCTGCAGTGACAGGATCTATGGGGACTGGGATCTGTGGGGACAGGGACCGTGACTCTGAGGTGACAGCCGTGTCCCCGGTGTCCCCAGGGCCTGCGTGTCCCTGTTCATGCTGTGCAGGGACAGGATCTATGGGGACTGGGATCTGTGGGGTGACAGCCGTGTCCCCTCCTGTCCCCAGGGCCTGCATGTCCCTGTTCATGCTGTGGGGACAGGATCTGTGGGGACAGGATCTGTGGGGACAGGATCTATGGGGACAGGTGGTGACAGCCGTGTCCCCTCCTGTCCCCAGGGCCTGCCTGTCCCTGTTCATGCTGTGGGGACAGGATCTATGGGGACAGGATCTATGGGGCTGTGGGGTGACAGCCGTGTCCCCGGTGTCCCCAGGGCCTGCGTGTCCCTGTTCATGCTGTGGGGACAGGATCTGTGGGGACAGGATCTGTGGACGCTGGCTCTGTGGGTGACAGCCTGTCCCTCCTGTCCCCAGGGCCTACCTGTCCCTGTTCATGCTGTGGGGACAGGATCTATGGGGCCAGGTGGTGACAGACCTGTCCCCGGTGTCCCCAGGGCCTACGTGTCCCTGTTCATGCTGTGGGGACAGGATCTGTGGGGACAGGGATCTGTGGGGCTGGGCTCTGTGGGGTGACAGGCCTGTCCCCTCCTGTCCCCAGGGCCTGCCTGTCCCTGTTCATGCTGTGGGGACAGGATCTATGGGGCCAGGTGGTGACAGCCGTGTCCCCGGTGTCCCCAGGGCCTACGTGTCCCTGTTCATGCTGTGGGGACAGGATCTGTGGGGACAGGGATCTGTGGGGTGACAGCCGTGTCCCCGGTGTCCCCAGGGCCTGCGTGTCCCTGTTCATGCTGTGCAGGGACAGGATCTATGGGGACAGGATCTATGGGGACAGGATCTATGGGGACAGGGATCTGTGAGGTGACAGCCGTGTCCCCTCCTGTCCCCAGGGCCTACGTGTCCCTGTTCATGCTGTGCAGTGACAGGATCTGTGGGGACAGGGACTGTGGCTCTGTGGGGACAGGATCTATGGGGACAGGGATCTATGGGGCTGGGATCTATGGGGCTGTGGGGTGACAGGCCTGTCCCTCCTGTCCCCAGGGCCTACGTGTCCCTGTTCATGCTGTGCAGGGACAGGATCTGTGGGGACAGGGACTGTGGCTCTGTGGGGACAGGATCTATGGGGACAGGGATCTATGGGGCTGGGATCTATGGGGCTGTGAGGTGACAGCCGTGTCCCCTCCTGTCCCCAGGGCCTACGTGTCCCTGTTCATGCGCCACCTGTGCGAGCCGGGGGCCGATGGCTCCGAGACCTTCGCCGACGGCGTCCCCCGGGAGGGGCTCTCGCGGCAGCAGGTGCTGACCCGCATCGGAGTCATGTCCCTCGTCAAGAAGAAGGTAACACCCTGGGGACACCTGGGGACACACCTGGGTACACACCTGAACACCTGGGGGCACACCTGGAGACACACCTGGGGACACACCTGGGGACACCCTTGGGGACACCTGGGGACACCCTGAACCACCTGGGGACTTGTCTGGGGACACCCTGAACCACCTGGGGACACATCTGGGGACACCCTGGGGACACACCTGGGGACACCCTGAGCACCTGGGGACACATCTGGGACCCCCCCCCAGCACCTGGGGACACACCTGGGCACACGGGGGCACTCCCTGAACACCTGGGTGCCCTGTGTTGTTTTTGGGGTCCCTGTGTTGTTTTTGGGGTCCTTGTGATGTTTTTGGGGTCCCAGTGATGTTTTTGGGGTCCCTGTGTTGTTTTTGGGGTCCCTGTGAGGGTTTTGGGGTCCCTGTGAGGGTTTTTGGGGTCCCTGTGTTGTTTTTGGGGTCCCTGTGAGGGTTTTGGGGTCCCTGTGAGGGTTTTTAGGGTCCCCATGATGTTTTTGGGTTCCCATGATGTTTTTGGGGTGGCAGGTGCAGGAGTTCGAGCACATCAACGGCCGCTGGTCACTGTGTTGTTTTTGGGGTCCCTGTGAGGGTTTTTGGGGTCCCTGTAAGGGTTTCTGGGTTCCCCATGATGTTTTTGGGGTCCCAGTGATGTTTTTGGGGTGGCAGGTGCAGGAGTTCGAGCACATCAACGGCCGCTGGTCGCTGTGAGGGTTTTGGGGTCCCTGTGGTTTCTGTGGTTTCTTGTGCTGTTTTTGGGGTCCCATGATGTTTTTGGGGCCGCAGGTGCAGGAGTTCGAGCACATCAACGGCCGCTGGTCACTGTGAGGGTTTTGGGGTCCCTGTGGTTTCTGTGGTTTCTTGTGCTGTTTTTGGGGTCCCTGTGTTGTTTTTGGGGTCCCTGTGATGTTTTTGGGGTTCCCCATGATGTTTTTGGGGTCCCCAGTGATGTTTTTGGGGTCCCAGGTGCAGGAGTTCGAGCACATCAATGGCCGCTGGTCGCTGTGAGGGTTTTGGGGTCCCTGTGTTGTTTTTGGGGTCCCTGTGGTTTTGTGGTTCCCTGTGTTGTTTTTGGGGTCCCCATGTTGTTTTTTGGGGTCCCAGAGATGTTTTTGGGGTGGCAGGTGCAGGAGTTCGAGCACATCAACGGCCGCTGGTCGCTGTGAGGGTTTTGGGGTCCCAGTGATGTTTTTGGGTTCCCCATGATGTTTTTGGGGTCCCCATGATGTTTTTGGGGTCCCCATGATGTTTTTGGGGTTCCCATGACGTTTTTGGGGCCGCAGGTGCAGGAGTTCGAGCACATCAACGGCCGCTGGTCGCTACCCGAGCTGGCCCCCGAGCCCAGCGCCGACTCCAAGCGCTCGTCCCGCGCCTCCTCCCCCGCCAAGACCGGACCCCCCAGCCCCGAGCAGAGCGGCCCCAGCTCCCAACGCCCGCCCACGCCCGGCTACGAGGATGGGATGGGATAGGATGGGATACAGGGATGGGATGGGATTAGCATGGGATGGGATGGGATGGGATGGGATCGGGATGGGATACAGGGATGGGATGGGAATGGGATACAGGGATGGGATGGGATGGGATGGGATGATAGGGATGGGATGGGATGGGATGGGATACAGGGATGGAGAGATGGAATATGATGGGATAGGGATGGGATCAGGGATGGGATGGGATACGAGGGATAGGGATGGGATACAGGGATGGAGATGATGGGATGGGATACAGGAGATAGGATGGGATACGATGGGATGGGATTAGGGATGGGATGGGATGGGATACAGAGATAGGGATGGGATACAGGGATGAGATGGGATGAGGATGGGATGGAGATACAGGGATGGGATGCAGAGATGGGAGATGGGATGAGATAGAGATAGAGATAGAGATAGAGATAGAGATAGAGATGAGATAGAGATAGAGATAGAGATAGAGATAGAGATAGAGATAGAGATAGAGATAGAGATGAGAATAGAGATAGAATACGAGAGATAGAGATAGAGATAGAGAGATAGAGATACAGAGATAGAGATACAGAGATAGAGATACAGGGATGAGAGATAGAGATAGGATAGAGATAGGATAGAGATAGAGATAGAGATACAGGGATGAGAATACAGGGATAGGATAGAGATGAGAGATAGGGATACAGAGATAGGATGAGATAGAGGTAGAGATGGAATACAGGAGATAGAGATAGAGATGAGATGAGATACAGAGATAGGATGGGATGGAGATAGAATACAGAGATAGAATAGAAGAGATAGAGATGGAATGAGATAGAGATAGGATACAGATGGATAGAATACAGAGATAGAGATAGAGATAGGATCAGAGATAGAGATACAGAGATAGAATACAGAGATAGAGATAGAGATAGGATGGGATGAGAGATAGGGATACAGATGAGATAGAGGATGACAAGAGATGAGAGATAGAGATAGAGGATAGGATAGGGATACAAGAGATAGGATGAGGATGAGATACAGGAGATAGGATACAAGGGATAGAGAGATGGGATACAGATGGAGATGATGAGATACAGGAGATGGAGATACAGGAGATGGGATAGGATGGGATGGGATACGAGGGATAGGGATGGGATACAGGAGATAGGAGATGGAATACAGGGATGGGATGGGATGGGATGGGATGGAGGGGGAGAAATGGGGGGGATGTGGGGATCAGGGATGGGGACAGGGAGGGACAGGGGGAACAGGGATGGGGACATGAGGACAGGAGTAGGGGATGGAGGCAGTGGGGCATGGAGGGGAGGGGACATGGAGGGGACACTGGGGTAGGGGCTAGGGAGGGGTCTCAGGGATTGGGGTGGGGACAAGGGAGACAGTTGGGATGGGCTTGGGGACAGGGGGACAGGGGGAGGACACAGGGGACAGGGGTCACTGGGGACAGGGGGCACATGGGGACAGGGGGGCAATGGGGACAGGGGGCACTGAGGACAGGGGGCACACAGGGTTGGTCGTGGGGGGCACAGGGGACAGGAGCAGGGGGCTGGGGACACCCCGTGTCCATTGTCCATTGTCCCCTGTCCCTGTGCCAGCCACGCCGGCGCCCAGCGAGCGCGGGGACGTCCCGGGGCCACCCCCGGACAGGGACAGGGACAGGGACAGGGACGAGGGGGATGCCCGGGACGAGAAGGAGCCCAAGGGCCCTGAGAAGATGGAGACGGACGTGAGTGACAGGGCTGTCCCCAGCACTGTCCCCAGCACTGTCCTCCCTGTCCCCAGCACTGTCCTTGCTGTCCCCAACCCTGTCCCCAGCACTGTCCTTGCTGTCCCCAGCACTGTCCCCAACACTGTCCCCAGCACTGTCCTTGCTGTCCCCAGCACTGTCCCCAGCACCGTCCTCCCTGTCCCCAGCACTGTCCACAGCACTGTCCTGTCCTCCCTGTCCCCAACACTGTCCCCAGCACTGTCCTCCCTGTCCCCAACACTGTCCTCTCTGTCCCCAGCACTGTCCTTGCTGTCCCCAGCACTGTCCCCAGCACTGTCCTCTCTGTCCCCAACACTGTCCTTGCTGTCCCCAGCACTGTCCCCAGCACTGTCCTCCCTGTCCCCAGCACTGTCCTTGCAGTCCCCAACCCTGTCCCCAACACTGTCCTTGCTGTCCCCAGCACTGTCCCCAGCACTGTCCTCCCTGTCCCCAGCACTGTCCTTGCAGTCCCCAGCCCTGTCCCCAACACTGTCCTTGCTGTCCCCAGCACTGTCCCCAGCACTGTCCTCCCTGTCCCCAGCCTTGTCCCCAACTTCATCTTCCCTGTCCCAGCCCCGTTCCCAAAAACGTCCTCCCTTTTCTGTCCCTGTCCCCACAGCCCCTGTCCCCAGCCCTGTCCTCAGCCCTGTCCCCACCCTGTCCCTGTCCCCAGCCTGTCCCTGTCCCCAGCCCTGTCCCTGTCCCCACAGTCCCTGTCCCCACCTGTCCCTGTCCCCAAGCCCTGTCCCCCAGCCCTGTCCCTGTCCCCAGCCCTGTCCCCGCCTGTCCCTGTCCCCACGTCCCTGTCCCTGTCCCCACAGCCCCTGTCCCTGTCCCCAGCCCTGTCCCCAGCTGTCCTGTCCCCAGTCCCTGTCCCCAGCCCTGTCCCCAGTCCCTGCCCTGCCCCTGTCCCTGTCCCCACACCCTGTCCCTGTCCCCACAGCCCCTGTCCCTGTCCCAGTCCCTGTCCCCAGCCTGTCCCCAGTCCCTGTCCCCAGCCCTGTCCCCACAGTCCCTGTCCTGTCCCCAGTCCCTGTCCCTGTCCCCAGTCCCTGTCCCCACAGTCCCTGTCCCTGTCCCTGTCCCCAGCCCTGTCCCTGTCCCCAGCCCTGTCCCTGTCCCCAGCCCTGTCCCGTCCTGTCCCTGTCCCCAGCCCTGTCCCTGTCCCCAGTCCCTGTCCCCCAGCCCCTGTCCCCACAGCCCCTGTCCCTGTCCCCAGCCTGTCCCCGCCTGTCCCCAGCCCTGTCCCCAGCCTGTCCCTGTCCCCAGCCCCTGTCCCTGTCCCACAACGTCCCCTGTCCCCCCAGCCCTGTCCGCTGTCCCCCAGCCCTGTCCCTGTCCCCAGCCCTGTCCCCCCAGGCCCTGTCCCCACAGCCCTGTCCCTGTCCCCCAGCCTGTCCCTGCCGTCCCACAGCCTGTCCCTGTCCCCAGCCCTGTCCCCAGCCCTGTCCCTGTCCCACAGCCCTGTGCCCTGTCCCCTGTCCCTGTCCCCAGCCCTGTCCCTGTCCCCACAGCCCCTGTCCCTGTCCCCACAGCCCAGCCCTGTCCCCAGCCCTGTCCCTGTCCCCACAGTCCCTGTCCCCACAGCCCTGTCCTCTGTCCCTGTCCCCAGCCCTGTCCCTGTCCCCAACCCTGTCCCTGTCCCCACAGTCCCTGTCCCCCAGGCCGCTGTCCCCGAGGTGCCTGTTCCTGTCCCCCAGGCCGCTGTCCCCAGCCCTGTCCCCACAGCCCCTGTCCCTGTCCCCACAGCCCTGTCCCTGTCCCCAGCCCTGTCCTTGTCCCCAGCCCTGTCCCCACCGTCCCTGTCCCCCAGGCCGCTGTCCCCGAGGTGCCTGTCCCTGTCCCCCTGTCCCTGTCCTTGTCCCTGTCCCCACAGCCCCTGTCCCTGTCCCCAGCCCTGTCCCTGTCCCCACAGCCCTGTCCCTGTCCCCAGCCCTGTCCCTGTCCCCCCAGGCCGCTGTCCCCTCTGTCCCTGTCCCTGTCCCCACCGTCCCTGTCCCCCAGGCCGCTGTCCCCTCTGTCCCACAGCCCCTGTCCCTGTCCCCAGCCTGTCCCTGTCCCCAGGCCGCTGTCCCCTCTGTCCCTGTCCCCATCCCTGTCCCCACCGTCCCTGTCCCCCCAGGCCGCTGTCCCCGAGGCTCCCCCCTCTCCGGGCGATGGCAGCGAGGCCGAGGGGCCGCGCAAGGGGGAGGACGAGGAGGCCCCCGAGGACCCCGAGGCCGAAGGACCCCCGGCCCGGGAGGACAGACCAGGTGAGACCCCCCAAACCCCCAGGGGACCCTGATGTCCAGGGCCCCCCACCAACTGCCCTGAGGGACCCCAAATCCCCAGGGACCCCAAAATCCCCAGGGACCCCCAAATCCCCAGGGACCCCCAAATCCTCCAGGGGACCTCCCAGATCCCAGGGGACCCCAGATCCCCAGGGGTCTCCCATTGTCCATGTGCCCCCAGCTCCTGGGGACCCCAAACCCCAGGACACCCCCAGATCCGACCCCCCATCTCCCCTGGGAACCCCCAAACCCCAGGACACACCCATATCCAACCCCCCCCATCTGCCCTGGGGACCCCCAAACCAGGGCACCCCAGATCCGACCCCCATCTCCCTGGGGACCCCCAAACCCAGGGCACCCCCAGATCCGACCCCCCGTCCCCAGCTCCTGGGGACCCCCAAACCCCAGGGCACCCCATACCAACCCCCATCTCCTGGGGACCCCCAAACCCGGGGCACCCCAGATCCGACCCCCGTCCCCCTCAGGCACCGAGGCCGAGAAGGGTCCTGGGGCCGAGAAGGCGAGGAGAAACCCCTGAGGAGGAGCCCAAGGAGCGACCGGGGACCCTGACCCCAAAGAGGTACCTGGGGGCGGGGCTTGGTGGAGGGGGCGTGGCCTCACACAGAGAGGGCGGGGCTTAACCAGGAAGACCCCTCCCACAAAGAGATCCCTCCCCAAAAGATCCACACAAGAAAATCCACCAAAGACCCTCCCAGGAAGATCCTTCGGAAGAGCCACCCCAAAAGATCCCCAAAAAGATCCCCCAAAAAGATTCACCCCAAAAGATCCACCCAAAAAGATTCACCCTAAAAGATCCACCAAGAAGATCCCCTAAAACATCCCCCAAAAAGATCCACCCAAAAAGATCCTTGAGAAGATCCCCATAAAATCCCCCAAAAGGATCCCTTGAGAAGATCCCCATAAAATCCCCCAAAAGGATCCTTGAGAAGATCCCCAAAAGATCCCCAAAAGGATCCCTTGAGAGATCCCATAAGATCCCCCAAAAGGATCCTTGAGAAATCCCAAAATCCCCAAAAGGATCTCTTGAGAAGATCCTCCATAAAATCCCCCAAAAGGATCCCTTGAGAAGATCCCCCAAAAGATCCCCCAAAAGGATCCCTTGAGAAGATCCCCATAAAATCCCTCAAAAAGGATCCCTTGAGAAGATCCCCCTAAAATCCCCCAAAAGGATGTCTTGAGAAGATCCCCATAAAATCCACCCAAAAAGGATCCCTTGAGAAGATCCCCATAAATTCCCCCAAAAGGATCCCTTGAGAAGATCCCCATAAAATCCCCTAAAAGGATCCTTTGAGAAGATGCCCTCAAAAAGATCCTTCCAAAAAGGATCCCTTGAGAAGATCCCCCATAAAATCCCCCACCCTCCCGTTCGAATCCCCCCGCTTTGTCCCCCGACCCTCCCGGCAGTTCCCTCTGCAGACCCTTCCTGCTCCCTGGGGGGCTCTAGGGGCTCTGGGGGCTCTGGGACCCCCAAACCGTGTCCAACCCCCCACAGAGGAGGTGAAGGCGGAGAAGGAGCCCAGGCTGGAGCCTCGAGCCAACAACGGGCGGCGCAGGAGCGGGCCGAGAAACCGCGGTTCATGTTCAACATCGCTGATGGGGGCTTCACCGGTACGGGGGGCTTCATGGGGGTTTGAGGGGCTTCAATGGGGGCTTCATGGGGCATGGGGGGCTTCAATGGGCGTGGGGGGCTTTAATGGGGCATGGGGCTTCACGGGGCATGGGGAGAAACCGCGGTTCATGTTCAACATCGCTGATGGGGGCTTCACCGGTATGGGGGACATGGGGGAGCACTGGGGGCTGCACAGGGCATGGGGGCTTCAATGGGGGCATGGGGGGAGAAACCGCGGTTCATGTTCAACATCGCTGATGGGGGCTTCACTGGTATGGGGGCTTCAGTGGGGGCACTGGGGGCTGCACAGGGCATGGGGGCTCCATGGGGCATGGGGAGAAACCACGGTTCATGTTCAACATCGCTGATGGCGGCTTCACCGGTATGGGGGCTTCATGGGGGTGTGGGGGCTTCATGGGGCATGGGGGGCTTCAATGGGGGCTTCATGGGGGGCTTCAATGGGGGCATGGGGGCTTCAATGGGGGCGTGGGGGCACTGGGAGGGCATGGAGGAGAAACCGCGGTTCATGTTCAACATCGCTGATGGGGCTTCACTGGTACGGGGGGCTTCAATGGGGGCTTACAGGGCATGGGGGGCTTCAATGGGGGCATGGGGGGCTTCAATGGGGCATGGGGGCTTCAATGGGGGCGTGGGGGCTTCATGGGGCACTGGAAGGGCTTCAATGGGGGCATGGGGGCCTTTACTGGTATGGGGGCACTGCGGGAACTGAGGGACACAGGGGCTTCACCGGTCAGTGGGGGCCTGGGGGGCTCCATGGGACACTGGGAGGGCTTCAGGGTCAGTGAGGGGACCTGAGAGGCTTCACAGATCAGTAGGGGGCACAGGGGACCCTGGGGGTCAGTGGGGGCACTGGGGGGTCAGTGGGGACACAGGGGACCCTGGGGGTCAGTGGGGGACCCTGGGGGTCAGTGAGGGGCACTGGGTGACCCTGGGGGTCAGTGGGGACCCTGGGGGTCAGTGGGGACACAGGGGGACCCTGGGGGTCAGTGGGGACCCTGGGGGTCAGTGGGGGACCCTGGGGGTCAGTGGGGACACAGGGGGACCCTGGGGGTCAGTGGGGGACCCTGGGAGTCAGTGGGGGCAAGGGGGACCCTGGAGGTCAGTGGGGGCACAGGGGGTCAGTGGGGGCACAGGGGACCCTGGGGGTCAGTGAGGGGCACTGGGGGTCAGCGGGGGGCACTGGGGGTCAGTGGGGGCACTGGGGGTCAGTGGGGGCACTGGGGGCTTCAGGGGTCAGTGGGGAACCTGAGGGCTTCAGGGGTCAGTGGGGGGCACTGGGGACACTGGGGGTCAGTGGGGGACCCTGGGGGGTCAGTGAGGGGCACAGGGGGACCCTGGGGGTCAGTGGGGGTCAGTGGGGGACACTGGGGGTCAGTGGGGGCACTGGGGGACCCTAGGGGTCAGTGAGGGGCACTGGGGGTCAGTGGGGGCACTGGGGACCCTGGGGGTCAGTGGGGGGACACTGGGGGTCAGTGGAGGCACTGGGGGGCACAGGGGACCCTGGGGATCAGTGGGGGCACTGGGGATCAGTGGGGGCACTGGGGGTCAGTGAGGGCACAGGGGGTCACTGGGGGCACTGGGGGCACTGGGGTCAGTGGGGACACTGGGGGTCAGTGGGGGCACTGGGGGGTCAGTGGGGGCACTGGGGACCCTGGGGTCAGTGGGGGCACTGGGGGTCAGTGGGGGACCCTGGGGTCAGTGGGGGCACTGGGGTCAGTGGGGGGCACTGGGGACCCTGGGGGGCTCCTCAGGTCAATGGGGTGAGGGGGCACCGCTGGGGTCCCAAGGGGGGTCTCAGCGCCCTTTCTTTGCCCCCCAGAGCTGCACACGCTGTGGCAGAACGAGGAGCGCTGCCGCCATCTCCTCGGGGAAGCTCAACGAGATCTGGCACCGGCGCCACGACTACTGGCTGCTGGCCGGCATCGTCCTGTATCCCCACCCCAAATTCCTGCCCCCTGGGGCTGGGACCCCTCCCTGGGGCTGGAGACCCTTCCCTGCCATGGGGACCCCTCCCTGGGGCTGCTGGCCGGCATCGTCCTGTATCCCCCCACCCAAATTCCTGCCCCCCTGGGGCTGGAGACCCTCCCTGGGGCTGTGCCCCCCTCCCTGGGGCTGCTGGCTGGCATCGTCCTGTATCCCCCCACCCCAAATTCCTGCTTCCCTGGGGCTGGGCCCCCGTCCCCGGGGCTGTCCCCCCCTCCCTGGGGCTGGGACCCCCCTTCCCTGGGGCTGCTGGCTGGCATCGTCCTGTATCCCCCACCCCAAATTCCTGCTTCCTTGGGGCTGGGGCCCCTCCCGGGGCTGTCCCCCTCCTGGGGCTGGGACCCCCTCCCTGGGGCTGCTGGCTGGCATCGTCCTGTATCCCCCACCCCCCAAATTCCTGCCCCCCTGGGGCTGTCCCCCACATCCCTGGGGCTGGGAACGCCTCCCTGGGGCTGCTGGCCGGCATCGTCCTGTATCCCCCCACCCAAATTCCTGCCCCCGGGGCTGGGGACCCCTCCCTGGGGCTGGGACCTCTCACCCTGGGGCTGTGCCCCCCTCCCTAGGGCTGGGACCCTTCCCTGGGGCTGCTGGCCGGCATCGTCCTGTATCCCCCACCCAAATTCCTGCCCCCGGGGCTGTGCCCTCTCCCTGGGGCTGGGGGGCAGGGGCAGAGCAGGGGGCACGGCCATGGCCTAGGGGGACAGGGGGAGGTGCCAGGGTGACACAGTGACAGTGACAGGGTATCAGAGTGACCTGGTGACAGGGTGACACGGTGACAGAGTGACAGTGCCAGGGTTACACGGTGACACAGTGCCAGGGTGACCTGGTGACACAGTGACACAGTGCCAGGGTGACATGGTGACACAGTACCAGGGTATCAGGGTGACACAGTGACATGGTGACATGGTGCCAGGGTATTGTGGTGACAGGGTGACGTGGTGGATGACAGGGTGACACAGTGCCAGTCCTTAGCGCGCAGCCACGGCTACGCCCGCTGGACGGACATCCAGAACAACAGTGACACAGTGACAGGGTGACACAGTGCCAGGGTATCAGGGTGTCAGGGTGACACAGTGACACGGTGGATGACAGGGTGTCACAGTGCCAGGGTGACACAGTGCCAGTACCAGTCCTTAGCGCGCAGCCACGGCTACGCCCGCTGGACGGACACCCAGAACGACAGTGACAGGGTGACACAGTGACACAGTGACAGGGTATGAGGGCGACACGATGACAGGGTGACAGGGTATCAGGGTGACACAGTGACAGGGTGACATGGTGGATGACAGGGTGACACAGTGACACAGTGACATGGTATCAGGGTGTCAGGGTGACACAGTGCCAGGGTGTCAGGGTGACACAGTGACAGGGTGACACAGTGACAGGGTATCAGGGTGATACAGTGCCAGGGTGTCAGGGTGACACAGTGACAGGGTGACACAGTGACAGGTTGTCGGGGTGACACAGTGACACAGTGCCAGTGCCAGTCCCTAGCGCGCAGCCACGGCTACGCCCGCTGGACGGACATCCAGAACGACAGTGACACAGTGCCAGGGTGTCAGGGTGACACAGTGACACAGTGACAGGGTGACAGGGTATCAGGGTGACACAGTGCCAGGGTGTCAGGGTGACACAGTGCCAGGGTGACACAGTCACAGTGACACAGTGACACAGTACCAGTCCTTAGCGCGCAGCCACGGCTACGCCCGCTGGACGGACATCCAGAACAGTGACACAGTGACACAGTGACAGGGTGACAGGGTGTCAGGGTGACACAGTGACATGGTGGATGACAGGGTGACACAGTGACATGGTGACATGGTACCAGTCCTTAGCGCGCAGCCACGGCTACGCCCGCTGGACGGACATCCAGAACGACGGCGCCTTCGGGGTCATCAACGAGCCCTTCAAGGGCGAAGCCTCCAAGGGGAACTTCCTGGAGATGAAGAACAAGTTCCTCGCACGCCGCTTCAAGGTGAGGGGGGCACAGGGGGATGGGGGGCATGGGGGCACAGGGGGCACGGGGGATGGGGGGCACGGGGTGGGATGTGCACGGGGTCTTGCCCCAGGGCTGGGTGGGCTTGTGGGAGGGCTGGGCTTGCACGGGGTCTTGCCCGAGTGTCCAGGGAGGGTGGAAAGGAGGAGGAGGTGGGTGCTGGGACACACCCAGGCCAGCCAGGTGGGGGTGAGGTCAGAGAGGGGTGCTGGGACACTCCTGAGTCCTCCAGATGTTCTGGCTCCTCCAGGTGTTGGGTGACACCAGGGTGGGCATTGGGCTCCTCCAGGTGTTGGGTGACACCAGGTGGGCATTGGGTCCTCCAGGGCTGGGTGACACCAGGGGTGGGCATTGGGCTCCTCCAGGTGTTGGGTGACACCTGGACACACCCAAGTGCTCCAGGTGTTGGGTGACACCAGGGGTGGGCATTGGGTCCTCCAGGTGTGGTGACACTGGGTGGACACCTGGACACACCTGAGTGCTCCAGGCCTCGTGTGACACCAGGGTCAGCACACCCGGCTCCTCCAGGTGTTGGGTGACACCGGGGTCGGCACACCTGACTCCTCCAGGTGTTGGGTGACACCGGGTTGGACACACCCAAGTGCTCCAGGTGTTGGGTGACACCTGGATGCACCTGGCTCCTCCAGGCGTTGGGTGACACCAGGGTTGGACTCCTGAGTCCTCCAGGTGTTGGGTGACACCTGGACACACACGGCTCCTCCAGGTGTTGGGTGACACCAGGGTTGGACTCCTGAGTCCTGCAGGTGTTGGGTGACACCAGGGTCAGCACACCTGGCTTCTCCAGGTGTTGGGTGACACCTGGACACACCCAAGTGCTCCAGGTGTTGGGTGACACCAGGGTTGGGCATTGGGGTCCTCCAGGTGTTGGGTGACACCGGGTTGGGACACACCCAAGTGCTCCAGGTGTTGGGTGACACCAGGGGTGGACACCTGGACACACCCGAGTGCTCCAGGCCTCGTGTGACACTGGGGTCGGCACACCCGACTCCTCCAGGTGTTGGGTGACACCTGGACACACCTGAGTCCTGCAGGTGCTGGGTGACACCTGGACACACCTGAGTCCTCCAGGTGTTGAGTGACACCTGGACACACCTGAGTCCTCCAGGTGTTGGGTGACACCAGGGTTGGACATTGGGCTCCTCCAGGTGCTGGGTGACACCTGGACACACCCGACTCCTCCATGCACGGGTGACCCCACCCACCCCCCCGTGTCCCCCCACCCCTCTGCTGTCCCCGCAGCTGCTGGAGCAGGCGCTGGTGATCGAGGAGCAGCTGCGCCGCGCCGCCTACCTGAACATGACGCAGGACCCCAGCCACCCCGCCATGGCCCTCAACACGCGCTCGCCGAGGTCGAGTGCCTGGCCGAGAGCCACCAGCACTTGTCCAAGGAGTCGCTGGCGGGCAACAAGCCCGCGAACGCCGTCCTGCACAAGGGTAAGAGGCGGGGGGGCCGGCGCGGCCGGCGCGGCCGCCCCGTGTGAGCGCCTCGGCCTCCGGACGTTAAAGGGGGGGTTGTGCTGCCAGCCCTATCCCTGATGGAATTAAACGGGGTTGTTGTGCTGCCAGCCCTATCCCTGATGGAATTAACTGGGGTTGTTCTCCCAGCCCTATCCCTGATGGAATTAACTGGGGTTGTTGTGCTCCCAACCCGGTCCCTGATGGAATTAAATGGGGTTGTTGTGCTGCCAGCCCTATCCCTGATGGAATTAACTGGGGTTGTTGTGCTCCCAACCCCGCTCCCTGATGGAATTAAACGGGGTTGTTGTGCTCCCAGCCCCGCTCCCTGATGGAATTAAACGGGGTTGTTGTGCTGCCAGCCCTATCCCTGATGGAATTAAACGGGGTTGTGCTCCCAGCCCTGCTCCCTGATGGAATTAAACGGGGTTGTTGTGCTCCCAGCCCCGCTCCCTGATGGAATTAAACGGGGTTGTTGTGCTGCCAGCCCTATCCCTGATGGAATTAAACGGGGTTGTTCTCCCAGCCCTATCCCTGATGGAATTAAACGGGGTTGTTGTGCTCCCAGCCCTATCCCTGATGGAATTAACCGGGGTTGTGCTCCCAGCCCTATCCCTGATGGAATTAACTGGGGTTGTTGTTCTCCCAACCCCGCTCCCTGATGGAATTAACTGGGGTTGTTCTCCCAGCCCTATCCCTGATGGAATTAACTGGGGTTGTTCTCCCAACCCGGTCCCTGATGGAATTAAACGGGGTTGTTCTCCCAGCCCCGCTCCCTGATGGAATTAAACGGGGTTGTTCTCCCAACCCCGCTCCCTGATGGAATTAACCGGGGTTGTTGTGCTCCCAGCCCTATCCCTGATGGAATTAAACGGGGTTGTTGTGCTGCCAGCCCTATCCCTGATGGAATTAACCGGGGTTGTTCTCCCAGCCCCGCTCCCTGATGGAATTAAACGGGGTTGTTCTCCCAACCCCGCTCCCTGATGGAATTAACTGGGGTTGTTGTGCTGCCAGCCCTATCCCTGATGGAATTAACCGGGTTGTTGTGCTGCCAGCCCTATCCCTGATGGAATTAACCGGGTTGTTGTGCTGCCAGCCCTATCCCTGATGGAATTAACTGGGGTTGTTGCTGCCCAGCCCTATCCCTGATGGAATTAAACGGGGTTGTTGTGCCCCAGCCCTATCCCTGATGGAATTAACCGGGTTGTTGTGCTCCCAGCCCCGTCTCCCTGATGGAATTAACTGGGGTTGTTGTGCTGCCAGCCCTATCCTGATGGAATTAAACGGGGTTGTGCTCCCAGCCCCATCCCTGATGGAATTAACCGGGCTGTTGTGCTGCCAGCCCTATCCCTGATGGAATTAACCGGGTTGTTCTCCCAGCCCCGTCCCTGATGGAATTAAACTGGGGTTGTTGTGCTCCCAGCCCCGCTCCCTGATGGAATTAAACGGGGTTGTTCTCCCAGCCCTATCCCTGATGGAATTAAACGGGGTTGTTCTCCCAACCCTATCCCTGATGGAATTAAACGGGTTGTTGTGCTCCCAGCCCCGCTCCCTGATGGAATTAAACGGGGTTGTGCTCCCAGCCCTACTCCCTGATGGAATTAACCGGGGTTGTTCTCCCAGCCCCATCCCTGATGGAATTAAACGGGTTGTTCTCCCAGCCCCGTCTCCTGATGGAATTAAACGGGGTTGTGCTCCCAACCCTATCCCTGATGGAATTAAACGGGTTGTTGTGCTCCCAGCCCCGCTCCCTGATGGAATTAAACGGGGTTGTGCTCCCAACCCTATCCCTGATGGAATTAAACGGGGTTGTTCTCCCAAACCACCTCCCGCCTCCCGGTGTATCCTTTGCTCTGCGTGCGCTTCTCTGCCGGCCGGGGTGGGGAGGGGAGGAGGTGGAAGGGTGGTTTTAGGGGTGGGAGGGGTCCTGGTTCCTCCTCCCGGCGGTTTTTGGGGGTGGGTGGGGCCGAGGTCGGGGGCCGCCTTGGCTTTGCTGGGCTGAGGGGTCCGTGCTGGGGTCGTGGCCTGGGGTCGGTGTCGCTTGCGTGCGTGTCCCCTCCCCACCCCACCCCCACCCCTGTTTGTGCCCCCCGAGCGTGGCCGGGACTTCGTCACCCTCCCCACCCCTGGGTAGCTCAAGGGCGGCGCCGCGGGTGCATGGCCTGAGTGACCCTGAGTGACCGTGTCCTGAGTGACCCTGTCCTGAGTGACCCTGAGTGACCTGAGTGACCCTGTCTTGAGTGACCTGAGGACCTGAGTGACCCTGAGTGACCCTGGAGTGACCCTGAGTGACCTGGAGTGACCTGTCCTGAGTGACCCTGGAGTGACCCTGAGTGACCCTGAGTGACCCTGAGTGACCTGAGTGATCTGTCCTGAGTGACCCTGAGTGACCCTGAGTGACCTGAGTGACCCTGAGTGACCTGTCAGCCTGAGTGACCCTGAGTGACCTGAGTGACCCTGAGTGACCCTGAGTGACCCTGAGTGACCTGAGTGACCTGAGTGATCTGTCCTGAGTGACCTGGAGTGACCTGTCCTGAGTGACCCTGAGTGGCCTGAGTGACCCTGAGTGACCTGAGTGACCTGAGTGATCTGTCCTGAGTGACCCTGAGTGACCTGAGTGACCCTGACCTGTCAGCCTGAGTGACCCTGAGTGACCTGAGTGACCCTGAGTGACCCTGAGTGACCCTGAGTGACCTGAGTGACCTGAGTGATCTGTCCTGAGTGACCTGAGTGACCCTGTCCTGAGTGACCCTGAGTGACCTGAGTGACCTGAGTGACCTGTCCTGAGTGACCCTGAGTGACCTGTCCTGAGTGACCCGTCCTGAGTGACCTGAGTGACCTGTCCTGAGTGACCCTTTACTGAGTGACCCTGGCCTGAGTGACCTGAGTGACCCTGCCATGAGTGACCTTGAGTGACCTGAGTGACCCTGAGTGACCTGAGTGACCCTGAGTGACCCTTTACTGAGTGACCTGAGTGACCCTGCCATGAGTGACCTGGCCTGAGTGACCTGAGTGACCTGAGTGACCCTGAGTGACCCTGCCATGAGTGACCCTGAGTGACCTGAGTGACCTGTCCTGAGTGACCCTGAGTGACCCTGCCATGAGTGACCCTGAGTGACCTGAGTGACCTGGCCTGAGTGACCTGAGTGACCCTGTCCTGAGTGACCATGTCCCTAAAAGGGGCACCCCTGGAGTGACTCCAGCGTGTCCAGTTGGTAGACCTGGAGTAGATCAGGAGTATCCCCAGAGTAGGTCAGGAGTATCCCCAGAGTAGGTCAGGAGGATCCCCAGAGTAGGTCAGGAGGATGCCCTGAGTAGGTCAGGAGTATCCCCAGAGTAGGTCAGGAGTATCCCCATAGTAGGTCAGGAGTACCCCATAGTAGGTCAGGAGTATCCCCATAGTAGGTCAGGAGTACCCCATAGTAGGTCAGGAGTATCCCCATAGTAGGTCAGGAGTACCCCATAGTAGGTCAGGAGCATCCCCAGAGTAGATCAGGAGCATCCCCTGAGTAGGTCGGGAGTATCCCCAGAGTAGATCAGGAGCATCCCCTGAGTATCTCTGGGGTGTCCAAGGGGCGTGCCCAGGGTGTAAACCCGGAGTACCCCTGGTGTGAGCACAGCTCGAGGACCCCAGGGTGGGTGGGGGTACCCCTGGAGTGAGCTGGGAGTGCCCCGAGCACCTCCTGGACCCCCAGCCCGGAGTGGGCGCCCCTTCCTCGCGTAGCTGCAGCCTCAAGTAGGTGCTGAGTATCCCTTGAGTAGCTCCCAGACTCCTCCCCACCCCCTCCCTGCCCTCACATGAGTATCCCTTGATTAGCTCCCAGACTCCTCCCCACCCCCTCCCTGCCCTCACATGAGTATCCCCTGCCCTCCCTGCCTCCTGCCGGTCTGTGAATAACCCATGAGTAACCCATGAGTAACCCATGAGTAACCCATGAGTGAGCTCTGAGTAACCCATGAGTATCCCATGAGTGAACTGTGAGTATCCCATGAGTGAGCTGTGAGTAACCCATGAGTAACCTGTGAGTAACCAATGAATAAGCTGTGAGTGAGCTGTGAGTGATCTGTAACCTGTGAGTGAGCTGTGAGTGACCTGTGAGTAACCTGTGAGTAACCAATGAATAAGCTGTGAGTGAGCTGTGAGTATCCCATGAGTGAGCTGTGAGTAACCCGAGTGAGCTGTGAGTAACCAATGAAGAAGCTGTGAGTGAGCTGTGAGTGATCTGTAACCTGTGAGTGAGCTGTGAGTAACCTGTGAGTAACCCGTGCGCGAGTTTGGGGACGGCCCCCGGCGCTGACGGGGCCCCCCTGCCCCTGTTTTTGTCTCCCCGGGCCGGCCGGCAGTGCTGAACCAGCTGGAGGAGCTGCTGAGCGACATGAAGGCCGACGTGACGCGCCTGCCGGCCACGCTGTCCCGCATCCCCCATCGCCGCCCGCCTGCAGATGTCGGAGCGCAGCATCCTCAGCCGCCTGGCCAGCAAGGGCACCGAGAGCCACCCCTCCCTGTGAGTGTCCCCAACCCAAACAGTGTCCCCAGGGTCACCCCTGTCCCCCATCACCCCCAGCAAGGGCACCGAGAGCCACCCCTCCCGTGAGTGTCCCCCCAGGAGTGTCCCCAGGGTCACCCCTGTCACCCCCATCACCCCCAGCAAGGGCACCGAGAGCCACCCCTCCCGTGGAGTGTCCCCAACCCAAACAGTGTCCCCAGGGTCCTGGTCACCTCCTGTGTCACCCCATCAACCCCAGCAAGGGCACCGAGAGCCACCCCTCCCGTGAGTGTCCTCCAGGAGTGTCCCCAGGGTCCCCAGTGTCACCCAGTGACCCCCAGCAAGGGCACCGAGCCACCCTCCCGTGAGTGTCCCCAGGGTCCCCAGGGTCCCCAGTGTCCCCAGTGACCCCCCCAGCAAGGGCACCGAGAGCCACCCCCCTCCCGTGAGTGTCCCCAGGGCCCCCAGGGTCCTGGTCACCTCCCCATGTCACCCCATCAACCCCAGCAAGGGCACCGAGAGCCACCCCCCTCCCGTGAGTGTCCCCTGCCAGGACAGTGTCCCCAGTGTCCCCAGTGACCCTAGTGACCCCCAGCAAGGGGCACCGAGAGCCACCCCCGCCCGGTGAGTGTCCCCCCAGGAGTGTCCCCAGTGAGACCCCCTGTCCCCCCACCACTCCCAGCAAGGGCACCGAGAGCCACCCCCCTCCTGTGAGTGTCCCCAGTGACCCCAGTGTCCCCAGTGTCCCCAGTGACCCCCCAGCAAGGGCACCGAGAGCCACCCCCCTCCCGTGAGTGTCCCCCCCCAGGAGTGTCCCCAGGGTCACCCCTGTGCCCCCATCACCCCCAGCAAGGGCACCGAGAGCCACCCCCTCCACGTGAGTGTCACCAGGGTCCCCAGTGTCACCCCTGTCTACCCCTCAACACAGACATTGTCCCCATCACCCCAGCAAAGGGCACCGAGAGCCACCCCCCTCCTGTGAGTGTCCCCAGTGTCACCCCCCCAGGAGTGTCCCCAGGGTCCCCAGTGTCACCCCTGTCACTCCATCACCCCCAGCAAGCGGCACCGAGCCACCCCCTCCCGTGAGTGTCCCCCAGGAGTGTCCCCAGGGTCCCCAGTGACCCCAGCAAGGGTACTGAGAGCCACCCTCCCGTGAGTGTCCCCAGGGTCCTGGTCACCCCTGTCACCCCTCAACACAGACAGTGTCCCCATCACCCCCAGCAAGGGCACCGAGAGAGAGAGCCACTGAGAGAGCCACCCCCCTCCCGTGAGTGTCCCCAGTGTCACCCCCCAGTGTCCCCAGTGATCCCCCATCAGCCCCAGCAAAGGAGCACCGAGAGCCACCCCCTCCTGTGAGTGTCCCCCCAGGAGTGTCCCCAGTGACCCCCTGTCACCCCCATCACCCCCAGCAAGGGCACCGAGAGCCACCCCCTCCCGTGAGTGTCCCCCCCAGGAGTGTCCCCAGGGTCCCCAGTGTCACCCCCCAGTGTCCCCAGTGTCACCCCCAGCAAAGGCACCGAGAGCCACCCCCTCCCGTGAGTGTCCCCCAGGAGTGTCCCCAGGGTCACCCCTGTGCCCCCATCACCCCCAGCAAGGGCACCGAGAGCCACCCCCTCCCGTGAGTGTCCCCCAGGAGTGTCCCCAGTGTCCCCAGTGACCCTAGGGTCCCCAGTGTCCCCCCCATCACCCCCAGCAAGGGCACCGAGAGCCACCCCTCCTGTGAGCGTCACCCCAGGAGTGTCACCCTAGGTCCCCAGTGACCCCCAGCAAGGGCATGAGAGCCACCCCCTCCCGTGAGTGTCCCCAGTGTCCCCAGGGTCTGGTCACCCCCAGTGTCCCCAGTGTCACCCCAGCTGCAAGGGGCACCGAGAGCCAGGTGACAGGGGAGGTGACAGTGGTGGGTCCCTGTCCCCAGACCTTTCCCGCTGGGTCCCTCACGCCACCCCCCCCCCCTAGCCATGGGGGCACCTTTGGGACCCCCGGCCGAGGCCCTCCCCGCCCCCGGGGGCCAATT